ATATACATATACATATATATAGATCCCTATTATCTTGAATTTTTCCTGGCTGCATGAATGCATCCTCATGTCCCATATGGTTCCAGATACTTCCCCAGGGGCGCACCTGTGGTCTTCCTCACACACACCTCCTGCTATCTGTACTCATGTTACTAAACATCCTGTTGATTGTTTTCCCTGTACTTTGATGTTTCATTCAGGGGTCTGACAACTGGAATTTGATGGGGGAAATCACAGGGAAATTATGGGTGTCACTGAATTGATTGGATACAGATTCCCATATCTGCTAAGATAAGACAGACACTCAAGCTCCTGGCTGACCACTACAAAGGTTGGCATTCTAGAATACTGTCATGGTGTAGTCTAAACAGCAGCCAAAGTTTCTACTGACCAACCTTCCAGTCCAGTCCAAGTAGAGCTAATGTTGTTCTGTCAACAGCCGATAATTTGGACAGGGAATAAAAGCAGGTCCAGAAAAAATTGATTGTTCACAACCCCAGTCATGGGGTCAGGGGGTCAGTTGGTGAGAGAGACCACCACTGGGAGGGGATGAAGCCAGCAACTTTACTGCCTCTGCTGAGGTCAGGATTTTACGAGCATTGGTTGTTCCTTTTTTTTTTTTTGGCTTCTAAAGAGAATGATGCAAAAAAGCTTTGAATGCAATTCAATTCTCTTTGGTAAATCAATGGGCCTTGAGGGAAAAAGGAGGATCAATTTCTGGGAAGCCAGATTCAGGTGAATCCCCCTAGCAATACTCTTCTAAACTGCAGATTACAAGCATGGACATCCAATGGACAAAACTATGCATGATTGCAGGATTGTGGTAGAGTGGCTGTTTTGTTGCTGATTGAGATGGGCCCATATTTTCTGTGACAGCAACTTAGTACCAAGTTTATAGTATCCTCTCTGACAGGATAGATACTAGTACTTGATGATATAAACCCCTGAATTGACTATCATTTGTTCTTTCATATTTATTTTCAAGTAATGTATATTTGACAATGGTAGTCATGGCATTAACAACTAACTTATGACATGGTTATTATGAAAAGAGAAATTCATGACATGACTACAGTGAGGGCCTGCAAGGGGGGGTAGTGATTACGAATTACGCAAAATTTTCGCCGCCTATTACGAATTACGTTAAAGTTTCAGAGCTGATTACGACTTTACGATTTGCGGCTAATGTCCAATTACGAATTACGTTGATTTTTGCGGAGGCTGCCTACGAATTACGAAGTCTAAAATGGCCTGATTACGCCTTACGAAAAAGGGCTTGCAGGCCCTCTACAGTGGACTTCATACATGCAAAGATTCATACCCAAAGGTCAGTCACCACTACCAGTTGCACTGATTCCCTGGTGTTAATTGCCAGCTGTAGTGATCAAATTATATATAAATAGGACCTTCCCATGGATTTAGATAAGGATGATTTATACTGGCACTATTTGGCCCTGCTGCCTGGAGGATGACCACATGTGGGGAAAATAGTCATAAATCAGGACCAGTGGGAAGCCTCTCTGATCTTCCTCATATGGGGAAAATGATCATCAGCGGATGCCAACCTAGTTTTGATGATGAAGCTCTTCCAGCTATTTTCTTCCAGATCGAAAGCACATACTTCTAAAGTAACCTTTGATGAATTGCACTCCAGTGTGTCACAGCAGATTTTCAATTATCTACCATAAGATATGCACTGACGGTATCTACGTATTTCATAGCCTATTTAAACTGTACCTTGCAACAAAAAGTGTAAACTTTATGCCTTGCTGGACAATAAAAAATATGTACAGTGATCTGCAAAGATCTGACAATGCACAGGCATCTCAAAAACCAGGTAGGCTACCTGGTTATACAGGTCAAGAACAGGTGCTTCACAGAGAGTCTACAAGAGCTAGGGTGTTGCAAGTTGTGTTGACACAGTTCTAATTATATTTTCACTGTCCATTGCCCCAGCAGCTTTATCAAATTAAAGGCGCCAAGGCTGCAGCCAATATGGGGTGACATTGCTCTCTCTGATTGCAATGGGGTGAGTAATTTCTGATCTTGTTTAGGTGCCAAGGGAGGGGTCATGAGGTCTCCAGCAACAGGTGTTGATCCAGATGGCCGTTAATTTAATTAAGTGCCTCAAGGAGGGAGGTCCCAGATACTGATCAAGCCACCAATTATGGGCTAAAGTAGGCTAAAGATGAGGAGTCCAAATATTCAAATATAAACAAAGTTGCGGTTGGTGGTCCATTTAAATGAGCCAGAGCGACGCAGAAACCTGTAAAACCGCTGCACGCCGTGGCGCATGCTGTCGCTACACATTCGAGGCCACCTCGGCTTCACTAATGTGGAGAAAGGGGACAAGAATGGGCGGATCGGTGAGATGAAAGGAAGCGCCTTAACAGACTTACTCACACACCGCTTGGCCCAGGGATGCTTGATAGATCTTACAATAGCCGTGCACATATCTGGTGCAGGGTCCTAATAAGCTATGTCAGCAGCGTATTTCTTCATTAGCAGAGATGAGGATGACAACAACCAGCATCTGCTCGGTAACCTGGGACACAGCCCAGACTGGTAAGGATGACACCAATGACTTGAGTGATCTTTGTGATGTGCCGCCTTAGTTACAAGACCACTCAGGGACAGATAAAATCTTGTCTACATGCAGGTGGACAGGTGGCCACTTAAGACAGGATTTTTAGATTTAGAATATTTTTCAAAAGTTTTGGCCTCGAAATTCAACGATACGATATGTCAATGGGAAAATTATCTATGGGACCACCAAAAGGTGGAGACATTGGCCCGGTGGTCCTAATGTAGAGGTGGTCACTTGTACAGGTAAAACTATGGTTGCTTGAAAAGGCCTCCAGATAAACAAGGACGAGGTAATTTGTGAAATTTTTGTTAATAGTCCACCATCAGGAAAACTTACAGAAAGTGCTGGTTACACTGCAGACAGGACACAGCGCCTCGGTGACCGGTCAGAACTGCCAGCCGCTCGAACTGGACAATGTCCCACACCTGTGGAAGACAGCATTCTGTTACCACAAAGTCAATTGACAATTAAAAAGTGCATTGAGTGCTACCTTGGGTGCCAGACTACTAGTATCTGGCTGTTAGTCGTTTTCCTGGAGTTGAGCCCGGGGTGAGGGGGGTGGGGGGGAGTTTGGCTGGCCCTCTCCCCGGGCTCAACTCCCCAGTAGTTAAGATAGGCAGGCAAAGGGCTTCTGGCTGTGGAAAGAAAACGGCTAACGGCCTGTAAATAGTCTGGCACCCAGGGTAATTGAGTGTGAGTGCTTCTATCGCTTTTTGAAGACCAAGTATGGTTCCCAATATGTAACATCCTTCAACATCACATGAATGTTAATGAAACACTTCCCAATATGTAGCATCTTTCAATAGCACATGAATGTTATAATTAGAAACAAAATAAGTGGACTTTTAGAACTGTTGTGGGTTAAAAAAGGACACATTATCATTGATTATTCAAACAGGGCTGGGACCAATCCAAACGTCTTTTGACTTCTAGTGCAGTTACCATCTGCCAAACATGTGATCTGATATAGCAGCCAGGTTTTATTCAACAAACAATTTAACAGCAATTAGCCCAAACTGTAGGGGATTTCAGGGTCAAATGACAAGGCCTCTGCTATATTATGTATACAGCTGTTTGTGAGGAGGTACTGACAGTTCTTAGGGGCACTTTAGACTGACGACGGTTCGATAGTCGTACGAATGTTTATCGTCAAGATGTTGCCGGCGACGGTATTTTACCACCGTCTAAACACGATCAAAATAGTCGCACGACGGTAATCCTCGAATCGTCGTCACTACCACCTCGGACCCTATCGTGCGATCCTTCAGCGGGGGGTCCGAGGAGGATTTTCCATCGTCTAAAGTGAACCGTCGCCGGAAGTGGGAGGTCATTGGCCTTATGCAAATAAGCCTGCAAGCGTTATTTCATGTCCAAGCACATCGCCTGTATCATTAAATGTCGTCAAACCAAAGACTTTATATCGTCATACGTGTCTAGTACAATCCCCTGCCACCAATCGCTACTTCTCCAGTACGAACCGATCCGCCGATCCACATTTCCCGGCCAATATAGCCAGGCCGACGGCAGCACCAAACGCCTGGTTCAAACCCGGAGTATTTGCCCGCTCGGTACATGTGCCTCATACCCCTTCTTTGCTGGGCACAAACTCGGCGTCTCATCCACAGGACGACGAGTTAAAAGCAGGATAAAAACAATCTGCTGTAGCATGCCGAAAAAAGGGGCCCTCTCGCCATTTTGAATTGGCGCGCGGCGTGCCCTCCTGCGCTGCGGGTGTCCGCCACGCTTTATGGTCATGTGTCTAAAGCCAGCCGTCGCCCACAACGATTGTCGTGCGGTCGTCAGTCTAAAGTCGGCCTAAGAATTGCTGGACACGCCAAACCATACATCCTGCATAAATTGATTAAAAAAAATACCATGTCAGCATATACTCTCATACCCTCACAACTGCAATGATTGAATTAACAGATGTAGCATGCTTTCTTAAATGCAAGACTGCTTCATTGTGTCAGTGTAATACCTCAAGAATGTAGGAATGTTTTCGCTGGAGTAGGGCTTATGAATCCATATGACATCTTGCCTGCCACCTCTCCCCACACACTCCTGCTGTAACCCCTGTCAAACACTTCCCCTCACTCCCACACCCGCCAAAAATTAAAGCACACCTGTCATATTGGAGTGACATGTCCCTTCCATCATGCTTACTGATAAGATTACACTGAGGTAAGGTAAATTCAATAATCTGTGAAGTGTGCACAACATATGAGCACCCCCCCATTCCCCCCTACATGGCCACATGGGACCCACCTGTGACCTGTGACCTTACAGGGTTCGAAATACTTTTTTTCAGGTACGTGCAAAATTGCACATTGGCAAAATTTTTAGGTGCAATTTGAAAAATTTATGTGCAAAATTATATTTAGCCTTGCATCTTTCGGTTTGGAACTGTTTTACTGTGTATCAACCTTCTTAGCCTGCCACTGCATATAGAAGTTTTAGTATACATTAAAAAGAAGGGACCAAACAAAACATGAACAATGCAAGTATCATCTGTGTTTAATAAAAAAAAGAACAACAAAAAAATTTGTCGGCATTAGCTTCAAAGGACGCCGCTAGTGACCCCCGGCCCTCTCACTCGTCATTAAAAAAAAAATACCAACAGTATGCAAGCAATAAATTTCATTTATTTTGCATATTTGTTTACCTTGAATATCGTGCACGATATAAGGAAAAAAATACTGCTTAGAAAAAAATAACGTCCGGTAAATTTTTGCTTCTTGGCGCTCCCCTCCCCCTCCTCTGGGGGCGCGTCGTCAACATCGGCCGCGGGATCCTCGGAGACGGTGGACCCGGTGGCATCTCCCGATCCACCGCCCCCGGCTTCACCAGCCTCTGGTCTACCGCCACCGGCTGCACCAGCCTCTGATGCCGGTTGGGCCCGTGAAAAGAACTTGAAAATCGACCCCTTCTTCATGCTTCATGCTTTACAAATTTCCTGGGTAGCACTGAATGCTGGGAAATCCGAAAACTCTGTTTTTCACCGAATTTTACCGAAAATTGGACGAAAAAGCCGAAATTACTCTGCCGAAGGACTTCGTACCACATCGGGCAACAAGTTTCGCGGGTCTCACCATATTTGGTAAATCAGCTACGTAGGCCTTCGCGTCTTGCCATATTAGGTAAATCATTACGTAATGCCTTCGCGTCTTCACCTGGGGACGAGAGCAGCTTGTTCCCAGGATGTTCAGTAGAGAAAACAATGTGGCTGCCATGCGCCCAGCGCGATGCCGACACAGCAAGAAACTTCGGAGATACGCAGTGCAAACATGATATATCGGTATTGTCCAGGTGCAAAATTGCACATTCAAAATATTTTTAGGTGCAAATCTTGAAAATTACGTGCAATTTGCACATTGCACCTTTGTATTTCGAACTCTGCCTTACATCAGGGATGCACTAATCTACAATCAGATGTAGGGTCCGGCTCAGTGTTTTACGCTTTAAGTTTTGAAGACCTTCTACCGATCTTTCTAGTGGTCCTCATTTTCTCTCCTATCCTTCCTGTAGCAGCCTGGAGTCCAGTCTTGCTGATTAAGTCTGTTCCCCAAAGGATCTTGGAGAGCGGACTATTAGCTAACAAGACTAGACTCCAGGATAATCCCTTTAATCACTAGAAAGACATATCATAATAAGCCACAAATACAGGCATAAAACTCTGGGCCAGACCCTACATCTGCTTGGAGATTCACTAAGAGCCACTTACCATGATCGACATGTCCCAGGATCCTGTGCAAATCTTGGTCTGGTTGAAGTGGATGGAGCGTATACCACCCTGCAGAGATGACAGTAAACATGGTAATCAACAATGACATAGCTTCTGACAAAATGTAGCAGAATTGAAGTCAATTTCATCCACTGGCCTACCAATATTGTCAACTCTTGTGGTGGAATAAAGTCCTTGGTTCAACATTTCACAATAACATTAACTCTCGTAATTCTACATGGCTACATTGAAAAGAAATTTAAAGAGATTCACTATTATCATCAGTTATAACTTGGTAATTAGCACACTTCACATACCTCTCTGGTGTTCATAACATTCTTAGAAGCCTTTTAATGTGGTGGTCTTAGGGTACCCAGTGGAAATTATATCATTTGAGTTGATGTTATAACCCTATAGTATACATGTAGTTAGGCGTACCTAATTTGTCATTCCTATGAACTACTAAGCCTGGTATTTTTGGTGAAAAACATGGGAGCATCAAGTGCATGTGCATGAGACAGTCCATATGAAGGAGTACACAAAAGTCTTGATGGAAGCAAGGACATTATCCTATATAATGTTCTTGTTGTAAGTGATTTCTGCCCATGGCTCTACTGCTGGAAGTAGTACAAACCTACAAGATGAGCATTCCATCCAGAGGTATGCTCGTACAAAAGAACTCTACAGGAGTTAAATGCTTTGCTGTGTTCAAAGACCATAAAAAAGGGGAAAGGCTGGTAATATTATCTCCATTCAAACATAGAAAAGAGGATTATCTGTGCACTTTGATTCAAAGTGCCAAAGAACTTATGAATATCAACAAATAAGCTTCAATGGCTCTCACTTGATCCAGCATATTCCCTCCTATTTTGAGTAGATTATACAAACATTTGTGTAATGGTGGGTTAATGCAAACAGTTTGCCCTAATAAGGGCTAAAAATCACAGAAAGCCATGTCCACTCCAGGATGCATAGCTCTATGATCAGGGCCTATTGTTGCAGGTAAGACTTCATATAGAAGTACACAGAGAACAATGCCAAATGTAATACAGTACCAGCATATGGTTCCACTGGACAACCCAAACACAGGAAAACCACAGAGGCCCAGTAATCCCACAACATGTTCAGTTTAACTACACCAAGGGAAGGAGAAATCCCCAGCAATTTTGGAAGGCAATATCGGTAAAACCACTTGAGCTTGTGCCTTTGTGGGGACTCTAGTCTAAGTCCGTAATACCAGTTTACACAAACAATGGTCAAGTCTAGAGTAACCCACTGGAAAGTGCCGGATCCTTTACAATCTTGTCTTCAATTGTTCCAATTATGTGTGGATAAACAAGGTGGATTAAGAATCAGGAACATTATATACATAACTAATCACAACATTTACTTTTGGTTGTTTGAAAACAAATTGTTTAAAGCTGCAAAAGTACATCTCTATATAATGTCCTTGAGTACACATAATAGGGTTATTGTATGTGAGCAAAAAGAATACAGAAAACTCATTTATAGTTTAAAACTGACAGTTTGGAAAAAATTATTCCTTATTATTTAACTGGAATATGTAGCCAGTCCTTGAATGACCACAATAGTTGGGATCTGATGAACTTGACCTTTTCACCAACAGAAGTAGTTGTACGATAAGTGCCACAAAAGCAAACATGTTGAAGATTTGAGGTGGTTGTGGGTCATACTTGGGTAACCACTGTTAGTTTGAAAAGGTGCTGAACAAACAAATGGAAGTAACACAAAACACACCTGGGAGCACCTGTAGAACCCAATGATAACCTGAAAAGGCCTACAAAGAGAGGAAGTTCTCAAGAAGAAGTCCCCAGCTGAGTCCAAAGGAAAACTTCCCTGAGAGGTGATTGCAAGAGCATCACCTGTCTTTGTTTGGCTGTCGGGTCGTCAATATTTCAAGCCCAACCAGAGTTTCTAACTCTCACCTGAGGTCGTTCACATTTACGTTTGACATTTTCGTCCCCTCTGACATATCAGGTTGTATGATCTGGTTACCAGTGGAGGATACAGCAGATTGCTGCCCTATTTGTAGGTGTGAATTATAGCCCAAGCAGGTTTCCCGTTTGAATAGCCCGAGTTTTAGTGCTGCACCATTAGGCAGCACAGTGCACTGCCCAATAACTTCTCCTCAATGCCTCAATTTACTGGCAGCAAGGTTGTTGTGTGGGGTGCCTTGAGCTGGAACAGCGGACACAAATAGCTCATTACGGGGAGATCTGGGCTTGAATCCCCTGCCCCGTGCTCCTATTGTCTGTCACTTGCCAGATGTCACCACAGGGCTCCCACCTGCCCGTCAGCCGGGTCTCTCCACAGGTATTGTCAGGAGCATGGGGACAATGGCTTCAAGTTCAACAGGAAGCGGAGGGTCTAAGCTGACTTAACCCTACTGGCCTTCCCCCATCCCAAGGTTTTCTCAGTAATTAGCATCCATTCAGCATCTGCGCCGGGAGGTCAGCAAATGTCAGCCAGGTGTGCTCAGTGTGAGCAACAGACAGGCAGCGGAAAGGGACGTTACTGAGGCTCTGAGGATTTCTTCATCTGTGCAGCTCTCTGCATCTTATTCACTTATCTTCCAACAAATTCATTCCAAAATTGGTGCATATTTATATTGAAATATTGGTGATTTTTCAAAACTATCTCAAAAATCTGTGAGCATACATCTGTTTAGACTTCTCTGCATCTATTTCACTTTTCTACCTTGGAAATTGTACCTTGAGATTGCTAATGGTAATATTGAAATATTGCTGATAAACCAATGATGACAATATCCTCATCTCTGTAGCTCTTTGCATGTTATTCACTCTTGTCCATCCAGAAAACTTTTTAAAAGTACACTATTGAAATATTGCTGGTTGAACCAATATGGTACCCATCTTCTACTGAGAAAAAACTGCTGCCCCCTTCAATTCACACCATCACTGCTTGTTCAAAGCTCCAGCAGCAGCAGTCATAAAGAAGCTCTCAACAGCAAGTGCCAGCTGTCAGGCAAATTAAGGTTTCTTTAAGAACAAATATGTTCTCAGGATGCTGCCTCGCTTGGTGGGAGCGCTGGCATGCAATACTGGTGTTGGTGATTACACCTCTGCTGAGTGACAACAATACCACTGGCGTGTCTGACAGGGCACACAGACTGGGGGAAGTCTACACCTTGTTTCCGCCCAATTTTCCATTGTATCTTTGTGTTGTATCAGCAGAGGTCAATATTTGGTGACCCCCAAAACACAACATAAACGGGTTGGGCTTCTGTTATCATAGGCTCGAGTTGCTGTTTTCAAAAGGTGACAACCAGCTTGTATCCACCTGTTCTGCCCCCTTCCGCTGATGAAGAAACTAACAACAGTCATCCTAGTAATAGCACTTTCATTCAATTAATTTTCTCCCTGGAGCCTGGCCAAAGGCTGAAAGGGCCCGGCTGCCAGCTTATCCTCCAGGTGTATACATACATACAGGGGTCTTCCCATGATTACATGTGTGGGCCTTGACCCTTTCTAGACACATGGCCTTATCAAAATGCCAACAGTAAATACTCCCCATCCATCCCCACTTTATTAAAAACGACTTCCGATCCTCACAGACTTTACTGCGTGAGGATGCAGCCTTGGCTCTCGCTATTTGTGGAATTCTGGGGGCTACGGCCCAGGCACACAGGACGCGGATGTGTGGATTTCACAGGAAAGCCTTTGAGAAGATGGTTTAAAAAGTTAGAAGCTGCTATGTGGAATAAGCTCCCAATTTGTTTCCTACAGCATTACGTAATCCTAGGATAGGTTGCTGGGTTATCTAATAGGTGGTTCTTAGAATGGTGGTAGCCGTGGAAAACACATGTCACTCCGTACCACCACACGACCAGGCCGGGACATGTAATCCACACACACATCTTCAGGAGGCTGATGCCACACACACACAGTAGTTGTGATTTCTGGACATAGCTCATAAATCCTAAAAACCCTCGGTTCAGATGGCAGGAATGTTTCCACTACAAACAATACCTGTGGACAGAAATCCAAAGAAACTCTATACACCAACTACCAAGGACAGCAATAAAGCAGAACGAAGATAGGTATGCAAAAATGAACTGTATTATAGCAAAGTAACAGTTCCTACCTTGTGCCCATACAGCTTTCGGATGCTGCGGCCACTGCGGATGTCCCACACGCGCACGGTCCTGTCCATAGACCCGGTCATCAGCCGGTCGTTTGTCCAAGGCCAGACACTGGACACTGTCCATGTGACCCTGAGTGGAAAGAAAAACATCAACATGCTCAAACAAACTTGCTTAATCTTCCTGCATTCTCATCTTTCTTGTTATCATAGCGTTTGTACCTTATGTCATGCTCTACTACCAATGCAAGAATTGGACTCATTAGCCACGCCCTGATTCACAGGGGCACCTGAACTCTGGGTCTTCTTTGAGAACCATGGACAAATATCACTATTGATGCATTCTATCAAATTAAAAACAACTTGTTTATAATTATCATGTGTTTTGAAGAGCCATGTAAACTGTAGATTTAGCTGTATTGCAAAACATGCCTTTGGTTTTCAGTCATCTAATGTACTGCACTCAGTCCTTTTGGGAAGGAATATGTAATAAAGATCATTGTTATTGTCAATGATTTCAACTTGAGTATCATGTACCAAACAACCAGCTTACTGTTAAACGTTCTTGCTATAAGTTATATCTGTGCCAGACTGCCATGTTGTATATTTCCCTGATATTTTATCAGAACAGGATTTCCAGTATTGAACCCTCAAAACTTGTAGCTGTGAAACCAACAAGTGGAGGCCTGGGTGCTATCCTGGTTTACTGCTATTCCTAAACTCGTTCCCTTACAAACTTGTAAACTAACTAGGAATGGTTCCCAGGCTAGGCAAGTGCATCAACAGGGATTCCTGTAGTATTGGCCAACAACCAGCGTCTCCAGAAAAGCGCTTAGACTGTGTAATACGAGGTTAGGTTTTACTACAGAAACAGATAACACCGATCCTGCACACATGTCAGGGACTCAAACCCATGCCAGCGGAAAATCCTTTGATTTGATAACAGATTGTCAAGTACAAGGTCTCTGTACATAAGAATTACAAGCTCGCTACACAAGGTGATGAGCGCCGGATGTGTTACATGGGTCAATTTTCACATTTTTGTGTGGCATTGCCAGTATTGGCAGTGTGCAGTGATCGTATCTTTGCCTTTAAACACCATGGCATTTACTCTAATCCTTGGCCTGTTACATGTCAGAACTTTACTGATTGGTGTTCTACATGTACTTATAAGGAGGAAGCCTGGAAGCCTACTTCACAGAAAACAGCAGCATCTCCTAGCCAAGAGGAATAGGTCAACTTACATCTTGCTACGAGTAAGAAAATCTTTTCAACACAAGCAGTACATCCAGCAACTGTGTTGTACTGTGATCACATCCAACAGAGCCTTAACCACCAATGGCCTTCAATTCAGCACTCAGTTACAAAGTTTAAGAGCCAACTAGCCTTCACACCCTATTTAAAGAGTTGCCTGGAAAAGTGATGTGAAGACTAGCCAACTGCTGTTCAGTGCTATGTCTGCAGCAGTTATATGATCTAATACTGGATACTACTGCACTACTCATACCAGTAAAGGTATAAGACTTCCAGAAGAGCCCGATACTTACCTGTAGAACACAGCTGCAGAATGCCTACCATGACGAGAAGAGTCTACGAACGGGAAACTTACCTGTAACTTCCTGACCTTCCTAACGGCATGGACGGCTCCTACGATGCTGCTGTGTGTCTCTGTCATGGATACCATACTGCTCTGGTCTGATGCAGGCAAACCTGCCACCGTCATGAACTTGCCCTGAAGGAGACCGACATTAACATGCTAAAACACACATATCAGTGTCCCAAATATTCACTTCTGCATACGTACTTGCATTGGTGCAGGTCACGATCAAAATTACCTACACCAGATAAGTTTAACTTTAACCTGCACTACACAGACCTTATTTTCTTTGCCTTTCAAGGTCTTTAACAATCTTTTTAACTTGATGTTCCTTGCAGTATCTCAATCATGCTACGTTCGGGTATGAAGCCCTAACTACAACTGTACAAACTGCAGATGTTGAAAAGGACAACTACAAGTGAACCACACAGTCCTCCAATTGCCTTGGTTCCATCTGTGAATGCTATACCTGCTCCCAAAGGCAGAGTAGATGTAGAATGAAGCAGGTATAGCGTTCATCGCTGGAATCCAGTACTGTGAACTGACCAGTTTCTCCTGCGGCTGTTTGAGCTCGTGCCTGATGTCCATGGCTGCGTCCCCCGGGTCATGTGACTTCCTCCTCCCCTGCAGCTGCCTGCGTAGCGGCTTACACACCACCTCTGCCTCGGGGCTGGTGGGACATAAGGTCAAGTTTAAATCCTTCCCTCACATGGTTTATATGGTGGTGCCCATCTCCATTTCTATAGCCCTTGGGCCAAATAAGTACTCCATCAGGGGGTCGGTCCACTGGTGTGGTGTATGTGTATTCAACATCCACACTCCTTGCTATAGAGCCTAGTTCTAAGCAGAGAAAGCAATATCATACAGTGTGCACCATTACTTAAGTTTTTGTTATGACTCAGCCTGGGCTCAAGAGAATTCAGACATGTCTTAGCTATGGGGAATGCTCCCTCTGTCATATCCTGATGTAGGTTATATATAATCTATATACACTATAATATACACGCAATGAGTTTGATGCTGTTGAAGAACAAAAAGTGAAATGACAACAGCCACTTTCATTTTATGTTTATGTTATATTTTATGTCATCTTTATGTTTACATTTGTATTATGTTTTATGAGCAGCAGATTCACATATGCTTCCTATCTAATGCTCAAAAATCCATGTGAATAAAATAAAAATAAGTGGATTTAACACCTGTCCTTAAATATGAAATGAAGGACCATTATCTTTGATCCAAGCCCAACCTAAAGTTGACAGATAAGTTTACCAATGTAGAATCAAAACATAGAAGACAGTCTCTTCTAATGCAGAACTTTCCCGGAGCTGAGAAGATTCCTATATTCTCCCCAGACGTACCTGTCCTCCTCGGGAGCCATGATGGTGCTCCTGTCCTCGGGGTGGGCCCTGGAGGTCAGTCTGCTGCCGCTGCGGCTGTGGCCGGTGGTCAGCAGGGACGGCGTGAGGGCCGCGGACCGAGAGCCACTGACCTCCTGACTGTCCTCCAGGATGGTGGACGACAGGCGGGCCTGCAGGTCTGGAGGGGGGGGATGTTTGTTTTTTCGTCATTTACCATAAATATAGGTCATCAGCACAACACTAAGTTAAGGGTTCTTTAAACCTAAACTTGCTGAGACATGAGATATACGGTGTATGAGAAAGAAGTGAAGTCACTCAAGTACTTCACAGAATATAAAAATTATGTACCTGTACAGCATCACGGCACTGCCTACATCCACAAAAAAGACAAGTTGTAAGTAATATAGTGACCAACCTTCTATGTGTGATGCCAGGGAGTACTTCCCTTCCTCCATCCTGCTGCTGGAGTAGGTACCTGCAGGGGAAGGGACAGTCAGATGCTGAGGTTAGCACATGTAGACTTGTGCATCAAAATACTGTATATGGAGCTAATATGATCGAAAAAGCCTAGAAGTTTATGCCATTTGGGTAATGTCTAACTAGAATTCATGCTTGTCTAAACATCACTGTGCAGCAAGAACTGCAGATAGCAACACTCAAGGACTTCCATCACCTCTTCTGGACCTCCTGTCATGGCGGCTTCTCCTCTCCTTCCTGCTGAGGTTGTACTCCAGCTCCTGTAGCTCTGCCTCCCAGTCCTCGTCACTTTCAGCTGGACAAAACAGGACAGCAGAGTTACCACACAGGACAGCACTCTCATAACACAGGATAGCACACTTAGAACACTGGATAGCATGCTTAGAACAAGTGACAGCAAACCTGGAACACACGTCAGTACATTTAGAACATTATACTGCATGCTAAGAACTTAGAACACAGGGCAGCAAGGGACAGGACACTTAGAACACAGGACAGCACACAGAACATGGGAAAGTCTATCTCATGGAGAATGTAAAACTGTGAGACCCCTACCATGCATGTCCCTGGCCTGGTTGGCGATGAAGACCAGCTCCAGGTAAGCCTGTTTCCAGTCCACACTGTCCCCCAGACTGGCCATCTGAACCATCCCGATGATGTCAGGCAGGTCTTCCCGAGTACCTGCAACAACAGACAGGGTCTAGATTAGTATGAAGTTTCATATATGTGCTTGTAGTTGATATAGCACAGTTCAAGCTTTGTTTCAACACAAAACATTTGCACTATACTAACACATCCAATTTCTCCTTCACAAGGTAAAGGTAAAGGTCCCATAGCCTTGTTTAGGCACAAAGTACAGTGAGCTGTTATCCACTGTGTCTTGAACACAGTGTTGGAAGGTGGAGCCCATCTCTCTCCTTCCACCATGTGTACCTTTTTACCTTGCCAACCAAAGTCATATACCCATGTTTACTAAGATGGAGTGAGGAAAGTCTAAACATCACTTTTCATACTGGGATGTTAGCTGTGCTGTGCACAGCAACGAAACATGCACCTTGCTACTGAAGAGGGAATAGGGGTATGCCCAAGAGTTAAGTGGTCACGTAGCTGTTTGTTAGTAAAGGACCAGTACTGATTCAACAGAATATTCAAATCAACAGGCTTGGCCTAACCCCAATGCTGAAAATTGTTATGTTGATTTTAGACCTAGAAACTAGTACTTGATGATTAGATACTTTATTTCTCCATTCTATACCTAGTTCCCTGCACTTCCTGACCCAGAGGGTGTCCTGTGCGACCAGGTACTGCCAGCGTCTGCACACCTGAGCCGCCCGCCCCAGGTCCGCCGCCCGCAGCAGTCCCAGGATCCTCAGCAGCAGGTGGTCAGGCAGGCAGTTGATGTCCAGCTGGTCCTTCAACCTGCAAGATTTCGTAGCTTTAGAAAACTGCCAGGAATACATGACCAAAGCTGAATGTCTCAGGAATGCATGTATGGATGTACCCAAGCACAGAAATAGACCATTATTTGGGACCAATGCATTCTAAGCCATGAAAATTCAAAGAGAATTATGGTTGTGGCAGTTTTTTTTGTAATTCCAAGCATATTCATGATCCAGCTCAGTCTCACTGTTTTATAGCGTCTTTTTTACTTGTATGAGAGAAAAACAAGGACCACTAGAAAGAGACATAAAAAGTCAAGAAAAAAAGATGTGTGACACACTGACCCAGACCCTACATCTGTTTGGCGACTAGAAAATAACCTTGTTGCCAGCAGACTCACCTCTGCAGCAGACACTGTGCGAAGAAGCTGACCTCCCCGTCGTTGGAACCCTTAATCATCTCCACCAGCACCTCCGCCTTCTGGTGGTCCTCCCAGTCTGACAGAACCTGCATGTACAGACAAGCCAGTCTGTGTTACTGATGATAATAATGACAAAGAGCTTTTAAAGTCTGTTTGTATGCATTAGTATATACCAGTACTTGTTTTTACTCGTATCATTATGTGTTTGCATTTGTCTTATGATAATTATGATTTGTAGGAGGGGTACATGTACCCTTTCAAGTTGGACAGAAGCCATGAGAAAAAATGTACACTGTTACTCTTGTCCTATTTACTATATTGTAACAAAGTTGAAATAAAAGCAAAAGACAAGCATCAATGAGCAAGACAACATGATAGACGACGTACTCAGGTTTGACAGTTAAGCAGAACTCCAGTCAAAAACTCTGAGGAAGGTGTTTGACAGACACCGAAACGTAAGCAAGGTAGGAATAGTTTGGTTGTGTAAAAGAAACCCCCTGAATCCTATACTCTACCAACCTGATGAAACTATTTTTGGAAGAAGCCAGTAGTTTGAAGACACTTTGGTGCCAATAACAGTGATTTATCATGATCATTGCCTCCCACCTGCCAGATCTGGTTGAGCTGCTCCATGAAGTTCTTGTGCAGCAGCTGACTGCTGGCTGGGACCAGGCGACGCCCCTCCGGTGACGCCCCCCAGAGCCGGCCGTACTTGTAGAGCTGCTGCAGGGGGGCGTACGAGCCGGCCTCCTCCGCATCCTGCCAGCCAGGGGCACCCTGGGATACCTGCAGCCGCACAGACCCTGTGGGAAGGGGGGAGGGGGGCATGTTCTGTATTAGTCTTAATAAAAGATATACAAGTATATATAGTCCTCTCCCTGTCAACTACCCTTCAACTTGTGGTCTTTGCTACATATACAAACATGTCCCTGGACTTCCTCTACCACTACTTGTAACTGTGTGGCCCAAGGGCTATGGAAATGGAGATGTGCACTACCCTATATGCCCAAAAGTGTCAGAAGGATGTAAACTAACTAGCTAATGAGTTTGGTGGATATTTGTCTTCTACTATGCTGAGTCTGGAATCAGGGAGCAGCAGGTAAAAAGAGGAGGGTACTGTATTTTCTACATGACTAAAATATCAACAGGCATTGAACTTTTGGATGCATGCAGCTTACCGAGTCGTTCAGTCCTCTGCCTGGAGAAGAAGTCGACCGTTCGGCAGCTGCCGGAGGAGATGTTGCTCCTGTGTTTGTGTTCCCCGCGCACGGATCCCGCGCTGTGGGATGACTCCAGGGAACCGCTGCGAGACTGCCCACGACTCTTCCTCGTTCTGCTCGCGGTTGTGTCGGATTTAGGGCGAACAACTTCATCATCCACAACATGGCCGTTTCTCGTCACTTCTTCACCTTCTCTCTGTGGTTCTCTCTGAGGTGTGCTGCGAGCATCCAGCATGTACTGTAGCACCATCTCCTGGTCCAGTGTCGGCTGTTTCTCCTCCTCAATCTCCATGGGCTGCATTGTAGCCTCCTCACCCTCTAAAGTCTTGGACGGGGCCTCTGCACCTTCCACAGTTGGTACCATGGCCTTTTCTCCTTCCATAGCCTGCACCATGGCCTGTTCTGTTGAATTGTCCAGAGTTTCCTTTTGGTCTGTATCCATACCTGGTGCTGTGGCAGCCTCAGTGATGGTAACCTGTACTGTTTCCTCTGGCTCTGCTACGTTCACCGTCACGCCATGTTGTACCTCAGCCTGTGGAGTGCTCCTCTCGCTGTGTTCGGCTAACTCGGGCTGCTCCTGTATGGTGCTGACAGAGCTCACCTCCGAGTTGGTCTCCTGGATGGGCGTCAGCACCCCCAGAGACAGGGCGGTGTTGGGGGTGTGTACAGGGGTGTGCAGGGATTCCTCTGCTGCTAACGCTTGTTCCTCCTCCTCCTCGTTTTCAGGAGAACTCTCCCCTATGGGAGACAGTGTGCCCGACCTGTGGCTGGATATCTTACTGCCCGGGGTGTCCGTCCTGGCCTCGTTGATCTCGTGGGCCTGCATTTGCTTGGACAGCTTCCTTATGATGCTGGCGTCCTCGGCTGAGATGGAGGGCTTCTCAGCGTCCGCGTGGTCTTCCCCAGGCTTGTCATGGGTGTGCTTGCTCATGGTGGGAACCTCCACTGGGGTTATATCCTTGCTGATGTCTACTGTGACCTTTCCTACTTTGCTCACTTGGGTGGTTTCCTTAACAGATGGTCCATCTGTTCCGTTCAGATTGCCGTAGGTAAGATCAACTGTCGTGTTAAAATTGTCCTTTACTGGACTCCCAGGAACGGCATCGTTTAAGGCAACACCTGATGCTCCGGTCCTTTTCCTGACGTACTGACTCCCCTCCCTCCTGCGCTTGCCGTAAGACAGGCTGGTATAGCGTCCCCGGAGGGTCGTCATGAAGTCGCGGTGGAACACGGGTTCCATGGCGGTGGCCAGCAGCTCCAGCTGATTGGTGGAGCACCTTGCGGTGATGCCACAGAGCAGCAGCTTGCGTTGCCATGGCTGCCAGGTCTCGTACCAGTCCGTGATCTTCTGGATCACCTGCCTGCTGTTGAAGTAGGTCAGCTGGTGTCCGTTTGCGGGCGTCGACCCCACGCTGGGGAGGGCCACCCTGTTGTTGCCATGGTGATCCCCGAAGCGTAGCCGTTTGGTCTTGGGCCTTCCCGTGACTTCCTCGCCACTGCCTTTGTGACTGGTGATTCTTGGTAAGAATGAAGGCATCGTGGCTATACTACTCTGCAAAACTGGCACAAGAAAGAAGATAGATGTCTGTGTGTCCTAAATTCATCCTCATCTCTTTGATTCCACATTACAAATTATAATATGGTATTACACAGATAATTTTTTTCAAACCCTTATTATTGTCTTCTTATTGTATATCATATCATAAAAGATCTAATGTCACCAACTTGTCAGCAGGTTTCAAATACATACGAAAATTTACGTGACACTTCTGGGCAGAATAAATAACAATGGCAGTTCTTGGTCCCGTGAACACAAGAATGATTTCAGTTTGCCCCTCCCCCTAGCTTCCCTCATGTCAACTTCGTGGTAATCGCTTTTCCACCGCCGCAGCTGTTACTAAAGATCCCACCCTTTCTTGTCTACAAAACTTGACTCTTAACCAGATGTTAATGGCTTCTTTCAGCAAATTAAATCTGTGCAATGCCACGTACTATGGGAAATATGTGGATGTAAACAAACCGGGGCTGCAAATCTGTCAGTTTACACATCCGTAAAAGTTGCCATTTTCTGCACCTGTCCCTACCAAATACGAGACGACAAGATCACAGTGGTAACGCCCAGCCATGCAGAAATGTCAATAGCAGTTACCTTCTTGTTCAAAGCCTTCAAAATTTGGCTAAGAAAGCCGAACGGCACCTGATCAAACCCATTCCTGCTCAGTGTTCCGGTTATTGCACGCCATATTGTTTGAAGTTGCCAGGACACATATCCCAGAATGCAAGCAAATACCACAGCGACCTCTGGCTTTTTGAGTGCATTACTGCAGGATTCTGGACCACACAATAACGACCTCTAGCGACTTATGTTCAAAGCGCAGTTTTGAAAGGCAGAGTGCGTGCAATGATATTTCTGATCACTAGGGGGCGCTAAAATAAGTCCAGACAAACCGTGACGTATAGAAAGCTGAGCCAATCACAGACAAGCATGCTGACGCGGAGAAATTTAAAAGGCTCTCCGAGTTGGTAACAACATGCCGGTGAAACTGGTGAGTTTCTCGAACCTCTTTCTCAGATTTGTCTGCCTTTCTTTGTTGATTGGGACTGATTGATCTTTTCAGCTCTTGTTTATTTTATTTTGAAGCCGATTGTCACCGCATCAGACGAAGAGATGAGCCAGTTCGACTCGTCTGACTCCGAGGAGGAGGGGCAGCTCCAGACGGACCCTGTTCAGGTGGACTGGTGAGATAAAGTTGTCTTGTTCTTCAACAGGACTTGATTGTCTTGAGCCAGTTTGACATTCACTACAAACACTTGCGAAAGACCAGTTAAATCCCGCCATTTGCTTATAAAAGTCCTGTTAGACGAAAGAAAATGACGGATCACCTGTCGTAAGCTGCATGTGAAGACAAAACAAACATAATTTTTTTGGGGGGAAATAGAACAAATTGTGTGTGCCACTAACTCCCGATGAATGGTTAGACAAAAGAATGTAAAATAATACAAGCCTTCCCCAAATCAACACCAATTTAAACAGTAAACATAATCATTGTTCAGCAGCTGCACTGATTTGTAGCTTTCCTCCTAGCCGTGGCGACTCGGTAACTTTTGTAATGATAATACTGGATCCAGCTTTAGGATTACAGAGTCGCCACGGCTACTTTCCTCCATGCAAATTATACAAATTGATCTCTAGTCTGATTTCTTTTTTCACTTCAAGTGGCTGCCTTCAAGCGTCTTTCTCATATTTTTTCCACCCAGGTTGAGTTTATCCAGTGTTGGTTGTGAGGAAAGCCTGGGGATCTGTGCACTGCCAGGTAAGACTAAGGGCCACTAAAGACTATATTTTATCAACAAAATTTGAGATACTCAGATAGGCTACCTACATCAGCTGTTTCCTTGTGGTTCCTGTCCTGATAACTGGGTAAATGATTATTCACACTGACAGGCACCATGGTTGTAATCACACATTCCAGTTCTCATAGTTACAATGTTGCTAATGCCTTTTATAATATACACCAATTTTACTGTACTTGTGTTTATTCACAGGTTGCAGATTTAAGGAGACATGGAGAAGTTTGGATGCTGATTTGGGTAAGATACCTGTCACTCCACCTCAAGTTGATATTTTCCCTGACCTGACATTCTGTTTAAAGTGCCCTTAATACAATATTCATGTCAAACAAAACAATGTTGTATCTCTCTTCACCTTCTCCTCCCAGAGGACCTGAAGGCTCAGTCCATCCGTGACATTTTTGTCCTGTGCACCCGCGGGGAGCTGCACAAGTACCGCGTGCCGCGCCTGCTGGAGCGATACGAGGAGGCGGACTTCACCGTACATCACCACCCCTTCCCGGACGGCACTGTGCCCGCCATGGCCGCGTGCGTCAAACTCTTGGACGAGCTCAAACTTTGCTTGTCTCAGGGGAAGAAAACACTGATACAGTGAGTGTGCACCTATATCAAATGTCCAGTGATGTGTATTTACTTTTCCTTCAGTTCTGCATGAAATACAGGAATAGGAATTTTGAAATGATTTTAACTTTTTCAGCTGTTATGGAGGGCTGGGAAGGTCCTGTCTGGGTGAGTTTTTTTCACTCTTCATAGACATATACATCAACGTATAAAACTTGCTCCTTTATGACTACAGGTATTACATATATTCCCACATTCACTTCTTTGATGGTTGGATGGTATATATAAAACCTTAAAATTTTTTGGATGGTGTTTCTTTGATACACACAGACAGTATTTTCTGAAGAATAGAACTGATTCAATGTAACAAACACCCCTGTCTTCCCCTGGCTGCTGATGTCCAGTTGCAGCTTGTTTGCTGTTGTACCTGGGAGAGAACACAGACCCACAGGCTGCCTTACAGAGAGTACAGCAGGTCAGGGGTCATGGAGCTGTACAGACTGTCAGGGTGAGTCATGTCATCAGTACATTACATACTTTTAGGTAACCTGAGTTGGATGAAATGTGCAATATTATCTAAAGTCAACATTGGGTAGCTTTGACTGTAAGACCACTGCGTCAGCTAACCAGCAGTACTGATGATAATGATGTTTCAACATTTTGAATGGATCCTTTGTTTTTCAGCAATACAACTTCCTGAACGATTTCCGTAAGAACCTTGAGGAGTACGAGGCCAGTGATGAGGCACAGGCGCAAGGACGGTCCCTGTCCCGCTGAACCAGTCATGGTCATGGGCCGGCAGCTGACCTCCAAGCAGATGAAGGGTAATAATGTTTTATGCATGTCTTTTGTGAGCTTTTCATATGCATTTCTGGTGGTCCTCATTTTTCCCTCTTTGTCTTCTGTTGAAAAAGGTGGACCACTAGAAAGACGTTTATGAAGCCTGAAAGATGTGCAGATAAACAATGAGCCAAACCAGACATCTGCCTGGAGACAACAGGAGGCTCTACATTATGAACCTGGGAGCATGGCCTCAGCCCTGGCCTGGGAGTGTGTGGATTGTAAATACTAGGATCCAATGGATCCAGAAATCTGGATGGATCTGCAGTCAGCTATTGAGTGTTCTCATTGAATTAAATTGTAATGATCATGATGAAACTTGAAAAAAATGACGTACACCGTTATACCGGTATATGTATAACTAACCAAAGGGGACTGTCCCACCACTGATTTGTCTCCAGAATGGTAGATATCACCGGGCAAAGGTGAAGGTGGCATTGCTGGGTAATAAGCTATTTTTATCACTTTATGCTGTACATGACAGACAGGTGCTCCATTCGGGGTCCAATTCAGTCTGACACAAAAGGTACCGGGGGAGGAATGATGAATAGCAGGGATTCCTCTTTGTCCTTTGATGGGGGAAAGCTGGTCATCTGTTTGCATCAAGGCCTGACACATACTTGAGACCCCAATAAGCCGGAATGATGACAGAACATTGAGAACACTGGCGTTGACTGGAGAGCTAGAGCAGTACTGTAGCCTCTACCAGGCTTTGGAAGTGGCTGGAAACAGGAAAGAGTAGAAATCGACCAAATAGACAGATGACATTCCATGGAAGTTGGTGGACCTGGATGCTGAAAACTGGACTCCTTTGGTGGACCAACTCCCCTGGCATCTTATCCATCCATTTGGTCAATTTCCATTCTTTCCATCCACTTCCGAAGCCTGGTAGAGGCTAACAGTATTGTACAGTTGGTATTATAATATGTTAACAACCAACAAAGGCATTACGATATGCTCGTGGAATTAAATCACATACGTGTATAAAGACTACACATATTTATCCATAGGTTGATATCATGTTGCCAAGATATGATTATTATGTAAATGCTGTTTAGAATTTCATAATCTGCATCAAATGCTTATACATGTACAAACTTCTATAGCCATACTTCATGAGTCAACCATAGTTAGGAGTCTCAGTAGCAAGTGCAGCTGTAAGTGTATTTTACCACAGAGCTTTATATAGTAGTGTAGTATGTAGAAGCTTCGTTAATTTAGATCTTGCTATACTGAGCCTTGATCTACAGATCTGGTTTGGTACACAAGGTGAAGATGCATCAAGACAAAGTACAGAGAGCAGTGCGATAGAATTGATACATATGCTAAATGGTGCAATAACTACAGTCTTATGATTGTATTTCTGGTGAATTGTTTCCCAATTAGGATATAGTGGGGTTATAAATAAGTAATTTGGGTGTATAGATGTGAAAACTAGTCCATTCTTCAATAATGCTATCTTCTTAATGTAATATTTTGGTAAATAAAAAGGGGAGAAAAAGACATTCTCTCATGAAGATTGGAGTTATTTCCATGAGTCATGTTCATATACCCAGTGTAACTAAGCATCCAGGCAAATCCTTGCTGTGCCTTATTTTCACTTTAGATCTGAAGACAATTAAAACAAATGGATCATTTCTCCTCCAAAAAAGCAACATAAAATAGTGTGGCCAGATATTTGTCTAAAAGTGTTTCATAAAATGTATACTGCAAATCTTCTGTAAAACTTTGAGTGGCCCCGATTGAATACTAGTAATTCCATGCATTGATAGTACCCTGGCACTGTGTGCCAGAATCCATGGTGCTAGTCATGTTGCCAGTAATATGAAATGTCTGCATTGGGCTGCCTGTGATAAATGGAGAAGCCTAGCCTAGCTTGACTCCATTCCACAGCATGCTTTGGCCTTGCAGGGTGCCAAATGCTGTCAATATACCAGGTAGCACATTTCCCATGATGTCTAGGTGTATTTCTCAAGTTCAAGATATAGACTTTTGTAAGTATTGCTCATGTATTGACAAAGGAATCATCCAACAGGCGTAACAAAATTCCATCACTTTATTTTTTCATGAAACTGACTCATTATCTTTGCCATTGGCAGTACACAGGAAATCATCTGAAAATACATGGCGGCTATTTTTGCAGGCCACTCTCCACAAGCCTGAAGCTACAAGTCCTGGTATCTAAATGCCTTGTTTAATGTGAATAAGCATACAGATACAGAAATACGATGTACGTTGTTTGGACCTTCTGTAGTGGGCTTATCCACTCATCTAACATGTACGTTTATTATAAGTCAAAAGGGAGAGGATAGAATAGTTTAATCAATGTTTGTTTTCTGACAGAAAACCTACCACTATAGACAACATGTCACACTGTATTATTTAGGGGTTTCTTGATATACAACACATTTTATAAATACATATTTTCCAGATGTACAACTAGTCCATCACCTACTGTCATGTATGTAAATTTACAGCCAGATTTCTGCAAAATATGAAGTACATCCTCCCAGCTTTCACTGAAGCCAAGGCAAACTACTAGTGTTAGTTTCTATCTACAAAAGTACATAACCACAAGTTTGGTCTGATCTGATATACTAATCTATTCATGTCGAAAATAAAGCATGTGGATATCAGTGTCATTTTACATATTAATCTTCCTATATCATATATAAAGATAATGGTTTCTACATACCAGGCAATGTTTCATAATAACCAATTGATCATAGCCACAACATTTTTCCTAATGCTGTACCATCCCAGCTCTTGTTTAAAGTGACTCCATTGGGACAGAGATATTGCTATTGTCGCATTAAAACCTTTATTATTCCTTCTTCCTTCTCCAGACTGTGCAGTGTGCAACAGTCCACTGGTTCTTCCGTGCCGTCTCCCTGATGAGGAACGGCATGTCCTTATGTGTGACCAGGTCAAAACTTCCCCCGAGGCTGTTCTGGAGCGTCTGGAAACCCTTCACTTCCTTGCCGTCTTTGTCCTTGTAGCCACCAAGCCATGTGCTCTACAAGACATGCAAGAACATTGGTTATTGGGAGGTTTGGCACTACATGTATTTTTATCTTTTCTTTGGGCCCTTGCCCTTTATCACAGTTTATTAAATAGATATATAATACTGTATGTGCTTTGTTGTTGCAGGGAAAGGTTTCCATGAACAACACGAAAAAGAAATCCCCTAACATATTGAAAATTTACACTCCCAACGAAGTCTCTGAGATTCTGAGTGTTAGACCATTCTGACATTCCTCTATCCTAAACAAAGTAGCTGAATGTTTTCAAGGTTTAAGAGGTTTACCTTGGGAGTGAACTCTGCCAGCCATGTGTATGGAGAAGTGATAACCAGCACACCCCCTGGTGCCACAAGACTCTTCAGTCGGTTCAGGAAGTCAAATGATGTCGGGAGTCTGCAGATGAGGTTTGCAGCCAGAACACAGCCGAACTGTCCCAGGTCCAGGGGCAGGTTACAGGCATCTCCCTGCTGAAATCTGGTCCTGGTCCGGTCCTGCAGAGATAGACAAAACATCATTGTTCCTTATCATTAGAGATGGAGCAGGAAGAACAGTTAACATCATCATCAGTCGGCTGCAGTGCAGGGTAACAAACTGTGCTAGTGTTTGGCTCTTGGCGATCTAACAGTTTTACTCTCTTCCCTCTTGTACAAACATTTTTCTCCTAGTGGTCTGTATCTTGGGTCTTCTTTTTCTCAACATGCAGCATATCCTTGCAGCTTAAGAGTGGAATAAGCTGGATGTTGTCAGCTGGCTGGATCACAATGGGGCTGGGCAGTTGTTAGGAGGGAGCTAACCTGGGCTGGCCTCCAGGATAGTCCCTTTTAATACAGTATTCTGTAAAAACACCTAGCATGATGAAGGTGGAGTCATGTGGATAATCTGGTATACATGCCACAGTGGATATGCTTTGAAACAAATGTTTAGTTGATTTTCAGCCTAAGAACACTACCAGTTTAAAAACGAGAATTTCTCCTGTCCTTTAATAGGGAAAACTTGATGCTTTGTAACATATGCATCTATGTGTTGACAGTTGATATTAGAGAGATTTATGTAGAGTCTTGGAAAGTGGTTTCAAGTTACACATGCAGTAAGGCAAAGTGGTCCACAGTGGAGGTCAACCACTGAATGGAGATAGAATTTCAACAGATAAGTGCTCTGACAATGTAACTCACGATTGTTGGATCTACCACAGCCTTGAGCTGGGTCGTGAGGTCCCCTTCGTCCTGCCGGTTATAGTCTATGGTCCCTGCTACCTTCAGTTGTTCGCAGGCGGCTACAAAGGAATGGCTGAAGTCGATGCCCACCACCTCCCTGTACCGCCGGGCTAGCTCGAAGGACGACCTGCCAGTGGCACAGCCGATGTCAAGTGCCCGACTGGGGATGTCTGCCTGGAGGGGGGACATGGAAATCTTATATGAAGTTGTGGTACAACAAAGGTTTGCTACTGCCTGGTATTCCTAACAATAACAATGTGTACATTCCAGCATATCCTGTGGCTGTTCTGTATATCTGGTGCTATCACAGGTGCATGTAGTAAGGCTGGGAAGGTAAATGACCTTGAACTATCTTCCCCAGGCAGGTAAATGACCTTGAATTATCTCAAGTGGTCGTCAGTCTCAAGTGGTCATCAGTAACTTGACACAATTCGTTTGGATACACTTTTGACAGATATGTTCGTCATCAACCTAGCCTGGTATCTATCCCATTAAAGTTCTGATTTAATGTTCATATGTATTAAGAAGTGAACAGAAAATACAAATAAGCCTAATTCAATACTGAAGCTATTAAGCACACCAAAACCAAAACTTTCCTTGGAGTCGGCATTGATACTTATTCAAACTATGCTAGTACTCCATGTCATCACACAATAACGGATTTACTATCATAATCATGATAATGCTTTACAATTACAGGAAAAAATAAACAAACAAATAAATAAACAGAACTCAATGCTCATTATGGATTAACGTTACTGGGTGAGAGAACTAGGAGTTCACATCTAAAATTCTTAGCTCTACATTTTGAGAAGGAAAAGGAGGCCGCAAATGGGACTTCTTTGGACCAAATTATAAAATTTGTCAATTTTCAGATGACGCTTACCCCATCCAGCGCATGTGCTAAACATTCCTCTGCACAACGTTTAGGGAAATTCTCTAGGGCATCTTTCGGGCCAAAGTCGAACTGTAGAACCTCCTCGGGACTTCCGAAATGAAACAGAAGATACTCGTTGAGAAGTTTGGCGGTCTCGTAGACGTTTTCCTTCTGCGCTTCTCTCTGATGGTGACTTTTGAGGGTCACAAGTTTGTAGGTCGAGTAGGCGGCTATTCCTGACACCACCACAAAACCTCCCGTGATGAGGTGACTGTGGTGAACCTGTGGTAGGGTGAGCTCTGATATCCAAGACATATTTATGCTCCAACCAGAATTTAAGAATTGGAAAATGACTTGCAGAAATACGTGCCGGTAGGCAGGTAGGTACGCCCTCGTGCAAACGTGCTAAGCAATGTGGGTCAGGGGTTAGAGGTCAGTGCGCAGGTTTGCCATTCAGTTGTAGCAGCCAAATTAGTCGAAGCGCAAAAATGTCCCGAATGGGCAAAGGCGGCTATTTGGAGATGGTAGCTCTGAAAACTTGACAAAGTCTCCCGAAAAGAAAAGAATTTCCTCCTGATTCTGATGTGCAAACGAAAATAATTCTATTCCTTCTTCGTATACACAAGGACATTATATCTGTGTATAATGTCCTTGCTATGGAGGAGTACCGACTTTGCTGCAACACCGGTGAAAGTTACCCTATCAGCTGAGTGGGGAGTTGCAGATAAGATCACAGAGCGGCGCGCCTAGTCCGTACACTTTGACAACATAATATTGCATGTCAAACAAGGTGGAAGAGGAAACACTTTTTATTTCAAATTACCCATTTTACGATTTTAAAGAATACACCTGTTTGATCCTAACTACTCCTCGTTCACAGACAAAAAGAAATTTACTCTCCCCACACATCACCGAAAAACTTCAAAGAGTGGGATCATAGCTTCGGACAAATAAGTTGAACCCAATGAGTTAGAATTTAATGTCAAAATTAGACTAGAATAGTCACGTAATAGTCTGTAACAGTTATTGTTATCCGTTGTCCATCCTTTTATTTTATTTTCATGTTTGATATCTGCAATTAGCCTCGGGCACAGACAAAGAACATGCAATAAAACTTTTTGTATCCAACGTTAAAACTGCAAATTTCCAACGATGTCTAGGTGTATAGTTCAAGACATAGATTTTGTAAGCATTGCTCAACAATTGACAAAGCAAACATCCAACATATCCAATAAAATTGCAGTGCTTTATCAGTTTTCCGTGAAAGTGACACAATCGTTGCCAATGATGTCATAACGCTGAGGACATACAAGGGGACTACTGTTTTTTCAGGGCTCTCTCCACAAGCTTGAAGCTACAAAGTCCTAGTAGCTCAATATCAAGTTGATGCAGGATTTCTGTACAACGTGACGAACCACACAGATACGGAAATTGTGCATTCGATCTTCTGTAGTTAGCTAGTACATTTATTAGTGGCCATTTGTTTCCATATAAGTCAACAAGGAGTGAAGAGCAGTCCAAAGTGTTTTTTTTTAATGGAAAACCTGTCACTATAGACAACAATTTCTATTCATGTCCGTAATGCATACCGGGTATCAGTGTCATCATGACACTGATATCCGGTATACTGTCATCTCAAGTATTGATCTTCTTATATCCTTATGAGGCAATGCTTTATAGATTCCAGGAAATGTTTGATAATAACCAATCATAGCCACAACGCTTTTCCTAACGCAGTACCATTCCATCTCTTGCTTTACGCGGCTCTGACATTGGGACAGAAATGTCCGTCTTCCTTCTCCAGACGGTGCAGTGTGCGATGCCCAACTGGTTTTCCCGCGCAGTCTCCCTGATGATGTACGGCATGTCCTTGTGTGTGACCAGGTCAAAGCTTCCCCTTAGGCTGTTCTGGAGGGTCTGGAAACCCATGACTGGAGTCCCGTCCTTGTCCTTGTAGCCACCAAGCCATGTGCTCTACAAGACATGCAAGAACATTTATGATTAATGTGACGTTTGGCACCATCTTCATTACAGTGTAATAGATATGTGTTTTACTACTGCAGGCAAAGCCTTCAACATTAAAATGATTAAATAGAATAAAGATGATTAAATAGAAATAGAAATAACGAATAAACTGTTCCTCCTCTATATCCCCCAACATTTTCAAAATGTGCATGTCAACCCTTCCAAAGTAGTCTCAAAGCAGATTCTGAGTGCCAATCACTAAGACCGTGATAAGTCATCTTTCCTTTACCACTACAAACTGCAAAACGTTATCTAGCACAATTTGGTACATGTATGTCCTTCAACGGTCCTGACAGTTTTGACCTTTTTGACATCCCTCAATGCCAACAGTAGGCCAGTCAGTAGCTAAATGCTTGCTGCACAAACAAGGTCAAGGTGAATCAAGAGCCTTACCTTGGGAGTGAACTCGGTCAACCATGTGTATGGAGAAGTGATAACCAGCACACCCCCTGGTGCCACAAGGCTCTTCAGTCGATTCAGGAAGTCAAATGGTGTAGGGAGTCTGCAGATGAGGTTTGCTGCCAGAACACAGCCGAACTGTCCCAGGTCCAGGGGCAGGTTACAGGCGTCTCCCTGCTGAAATCTGGTCCTGGACCGGTCCTGCAGAGATAGACAAAACATCATCCTACCTTAGGGATGGAGCAGGAAGGATGGTGGGGAGTGGGGTGAAAAAGTTTGTGCTTATGTGCTCTTCCAGGTCAACAGATAGAGCTGGTCTTTGCTTTTGACAATCTACATGTTTCCTCTCTTCCCTCTTGTGCAAAACGTGACTTCCCTGATATATCATTAGCGGCGTGCGCATTTCTACCCTGTGTCTTCTTTTCCCTAACACCTTGCCATCCACTCAAACTTTGCTGCCAACTCGTACTCAGCTCAGTGTACACTTCGAACAGTGCTCTGACAAGGCAACTCACAATAGCTGGATCTACCACAGCCTTGAGCTGGGTCGTGAGGTCCCCTTCGTCCTGCCGGTTATAGTCTATGGTCCCTGCTACCTTCAGTTGTTCGCAGGCGGCTACAAAGGAATGGCTGAAGTCGATGCCCACCACCTCCCTGTACCGTCGGGCTAGCTCGAAGGACGACCTGCCGGTGGCACAGCCGATGTCAAGTGCCCTACTGGGGATGTCTGCCTGGAGGGGGGACATGGAAATCTTATATGAAGTTGTTATACAATAAATGTACAAATGTATAAATAAAGGTTGCCATCGATGGACGAGGTCCAATAGACCCACAGTACTTCCCATTGAACCTTCTTACTGTACATGTACATGTTTGTAAGCATACATCAAACCTATGGCCAATGAAAACTTCCTTTGTACTGCATTAGTTAGCAGCCAATCAGCGACAGACAAAAGGTGTGAAATACATACCTGATTCGCGTGCCATCTACTAGTATTTTCATGAGCAACTTTGCAGATAAAGGCATTCGCACAAAACTACTAGTACAACATGTATTAATAGTGCGTCTGGACAGCCGTGACCGTCTGTCACTCCCAACGAAGTTATAGTTTATGATTTGAATTGTTTGTTTTCCCCGATATCACCGTGCGGTTTGTTCTGACAGTGACAGCCGAGAACTTTTGCCCCATCAGTGATCAGCTAGCAAAGGATAGCATACTTTTTAAGTCCCTCAAGGTATGACTATTTTGAAATATTAACCGATATTTGTAGAAAATGTTGGCTGCCGTAGTATTACAAATATTTTCTTTTAATGAACTAATCTGCACTTTTGCGTACGACACACTATTACTATAACATATTTTGGAACTTAAAAAATTTGCAACACGAAAAATGTAGTGCTACCAAGAAGAAATTTTGCGATCCCATTCGGACCTAGCGGCAATGTTAGGATATTGATTACCATGCAAACATGCATTCAAATCTCACCGGACATGTCAACAAAGGACCTCAGAAAAAGACATAGGCCAAGGACGCAGTTTTGTCCCTCTATGAAGGTGAGGATGCTCCGCTCAGGCGCGGCGAAAACAATGATCAAAATCCGATTCCAAGTACACTTAAAGTACGATAGTCCAAAAATCTTCCAGATACCTAAGCGCCAGTTCTAGCGTTAGCCCGTCGACGTCTCGCAGTGAGTCAAAGTTTAATCATTCACAGAAGACAAAAGAACTGCAAAACTCGAAATTGACGAAAAGAGGCAAACAAAAGAAATACATTGAACAAAATTAGCCATCTTACGCTATCGCCAAAAAGCAGTTAATCAAGCAACTGAATATGATTTTTTTAGAAATCAAGCAACTGGATATAATTTTTCCAATTCATATTTCACATTTCATATCCAGTTGCTTGAGTAACTGCTTTTTGGCGTATCGTATTACCTGGATGTCTAACCTTCATCGACATATCTTACGCTATCGTATCGTATCAGACATGCCATGCCACTTACCCCATCAAGTGCATGTGCTAAACATTCCTCTGCACAACGTTTAGGGAAATTCTCTAGGGCATTTTTCGGGCCAAAGTCGAGCTGTAGAACCTCCTCGGGACTTCCGAAATGAAACAGAAGATACTCGTTCAGATACTTGGCGGTCTCGTAGACGTTTTCCTTGTGCGCTTCTCTCTGATGGTGGCTTTTGAGGGTCACAAGTTTGTAGGTCGAGTAGGCGGCTATTCCTGACACCACCACAAAACCTCCCATGATGAGGTGACTTTGGTGAACTTGTGACATGCAAGACATATTTACTCTCCAACCTAATTCCAAAATGACCTGCAGAAAGCTAGAGACTAATTAATACGCGATTGTATTGCCACATTTGTCTACGCGGACGTCCTGTTTATGTTTATTCAAACGGCCGTATAGGTAAATAGTGAGTTTGACCACTATTTACTAGCCTGGGTACCATTCGGATTTTCTCTTCGCGAGGAGTATCATCATCTCGCAAGGACATGATCATACTAAGCACGGCATAATATGACATCAATCGGATTGACTTGATTTGGTGTTTGTGTAACGGAGCGTGTCAGTTAGACCATGGTTAGCATCTACATCTACATGGTTAGACCTAACCATGGTCAGCATCTACATCTACATGGACATTATACAAAGATATAATGTCCTTGGTTAGATCTAACTCTGACTCCTACTCAGACTCCTACTGCCACGTGCTAGGTCACGTGAGTCAAAGGTGAGAGGTTAGAGGTAAGTGCGCAGGCTGGCCTTTCAGTTGTAGCATCCCAGTTAGTCGAAGCTCAAAAATGTCCCGAATCAGACAAAGGGGGCTATTTGGAGATTGTAGCTCTCACAAATTGTCAAAATATCAAAAATCTAGAAAGATTTTTCTTTTGATTACGTTGCGCACTTGAAAGTAATTCTTTCATGCACAGTCTTTCATGCACACATAGACGTAGTGCTACTATTACTAAGGAGGGGTACCGACTTTGCTGCGACACCGGTGAAAGTTACCCTATCAGCTGACTGGGGAGCTGCAGAGTGAGATCACCGACGCCGCGGCGCGCCTAGTCCGTACACAGTCAGTACACACTCCTGCGGAGCTTCCAACCGTCCAGCCAGGCGTGTCGGCTCGACTTGCTGCGGGATTCACCTGAGAGGATCGGGAGCCGCACGTGAGGCGGCAGGCAGGCGGACCGTGCCCGGGCCGGATGGTGAGAGGCAGCGGGGCGGTGCAGGGAGACAGGAGCGATGCGGCGGCGGTTGACGCGCAGCCGGGTCCTGCTGGCGTTGTTTGTGGCAGCTTGGGTCCTGGGCATCGTGTACTATAGCGCCCTGATCAGCTCCGACAGCGGTAGCACCGACGGTGGGGTGGTCAACTACTTCTTGGTACGTAACAGTTTAATACTGTTTTATAATCATCATAACTTTTCTTCGATCTGTTTAATAGAACCGAAACAAAACATGTAAACCGCCTGGTCATCAAAACAAATTTGTTTTGCTCTTCTTCCCGGATCTATCAAAAACAGTACTACTTATCGTTCAGATCCGTGAGATCATGCCGACCACCCGCCAGTGCCTGCACCGTTATTTCCAGTCTAGGCAGCGTAATCAAATACACTGATTACTCCAAATACTAGTCTTGTGACTCCTGTCGACAACTCCAGCCTATAAAGTGATGTCTTCAGTTTATTTTCAGTTGACTGTATTTATACTAATACCTACACACCAAGATTTTGTAGGTACATAACTTAACGTGTGTGATCCTGATCCGTTTTTGATCCAGCCTTGCTTTGCTGAAGCCCTAAATGCAGAAGGTTTCAATTTAGATTTGTCTATCTAACGATATGAAAATAAGACAGGGAATTTGTAGATTCAAAGTCCTCATGATTCCAACAAAAAGTCTGGCACCTGATTTTGGTCCTTGGTCTCGATGTGGAATATGCAGGGAATTCCAAAGTATATGATCATAGTTTTATACCAATTATTTTAGGTTACCATGCATGTTATTCATATTCATGCCCCGAGATGTAGGTCTCAGTGCAAGGAAAGCTGTCATATGAATGATAAGATTGATGCTGTCTGCTATAGTAGTGGTAGTCTGTTGGGGAAGGTTGCTGGCGTGCTTGAAGGAGTTTCTGAGGGTTTACGTCCAGTGCATCCTGCCCCAGGATCAACATTCAGACAGGATTTACTCTCCATGTGTTTTGCACAAGGACATATTTCCTGTGAAAAACATCTCCAACTAAAACCAGTCGCTAATGAGGACAGTGAACAATGCTACTATTTAAATTCTAATAATTGCAGTAGGATTTCTAAGGGCTTCCTTCCGCCCTTAAAAATCTACAAAAAGAATATAATCTCTTTGTATTCTCCTCAAGTAGAAGTTTCCTGTATTTTCGCTCTTCAGTTTAGAAAAGCTTGAAGGCTTTCCTTAGTAACAGCAAGTACTAGCGGCAAAACATTCCGCCCAACAATGAGATAACTTTGCAGCCAAGGTAGAAACAAACCTGATAAGAAATTCACGTAGCAACTTGAATGTACAGTTTCCAGGTACAGTTCTGAATACACATGATGCAATGAGGGCGTGTTTGTTTTTTTCGCTGAAGTTGGAAAAATCATTACCATTCTTGCATCTTGTCAGCCTTCAAAGTGTTGACTTGGCGGTTGGTAGGAAAGAAAAATGAATACATGAACTACTTGTATAATAATATCCTTGAATGAAGTAAAGGCTAGCTTATGATTTTCTCATTTCATGTCTCTTAGCCAATCGCAGCTGAGGGATAAAATCTCCAATCCTGGGCAGTCATCCAACTTAAATCACATCAGGAAACCAGTAGTTTCCTCTCTACAGCAGTGCTTTGCTCTCATACATTTCTATGATCTGCAGATGCATTTTTCATATGCACTATACACTATACATATTATTGGCATTTAGCCTTCATTGCTGTGCCAATAATCATCATCATAACAGTTTTCATAAGTAATTTATGTAGTCTTTTGTCTAAGGTAACATTGTCCTACTCCTAGTGCTTTATATCTTCAGCTACAGACTATATTTGTGCTTTATTGCAAGGACATTACGATATATTTCCTTGCTTGTTGTGACATATGCTTCAGGGGTTTTGTGTTCTTGTGTTCCTGTTCCTGTACTACACTGTACCGCTCCAAGTATGGCTAGACTGTCTTGAATGACATCTTGTATCCATTACCAATGACCCTGCACTTTGACTGGGTCAGGTGCAGTACATTGAATGCAGGTACTGTGACAGCATGGCTTTGCTTTCTAATTGTAGATCAGAAACATATTTTCTCCTGTTGACTTCCCTGCTTGATATGGCTATTCACATAATAATACCCCACTGGGCCCTGTCTGAGTCACCCATTTGATTGCTTTTATCACTGACCAATGTAATGATTCTTGAAACAATCCAGAAAATATTGCCAATTCCAAAGCAATGAGTCACTTGTGGATAGTGTTGTACCATGGAGGTAAAAAAATCACATGGTTGTAACTATACTGGTACTGCGGTAGCTGGAAGTCAATAGTCAGATTACTTATTTACAGCTACAGTTTTTCTAAATTGTTAGAGGTTTTAAAAAAAAATCAGTATCAACCCAAGGTGACGATAGATGCAAACATTGATTATGTAAAGACCGTGTACATGTATGTAACTATTGTAAGCACCTCTGTGTGGTCCCCTGGTGATATCAGTGTCCTATCCTGGTCTCCAAGGGCCAGTCTGATCACTGGCAACATGGAAACCAGGTGTTCATGTCATCCACTTTTGTCTGAGTACCTTTCATATGTGTCCTCCTGGGGATAGGTCTGAGCTTGCACAATAGACCAGAGTTGTATAAAACATCATAAAATCCTCAGACGTAACATAATTCGGAAAATTAGGTCAGCGTGTTGTTTGGTGTTCTCAAATCAGTTCCATACTTTTCAGGAGAGAAAAGGAGACCTGCCTGAGTGAACATCACCCTGAAGGCTCATGTGTGTAATTAATAACATTACTATCCAAATGTTTCAGGGAAAGGGAAATAAAGAGACATGATTGATTAGCATGTAATGTGATACATGCAGAAAATTTTGCCTTATTAAAGATAGAATTGGAATTTTCACCGAATAACCAACCCTTCATCACGCAGACAGATGGGGGTCTTCCCTATTTGAATTTGAATTTCACGAGACAGTGGGATATTAAAGAAAATAACCATCTGTGTGTATAGATTTATGTTTTGAATTATACATGGCAATTTTTATTGCATCCTGGCTGACTTTTTATGACTGCCTCAGTTCGTTAGATGACTGTGATGTACTAATAGTTCCATCACGTGGCAGTTGTTCCGTCCGTGTTGGTATGATGACTGATTCCGCTTTCTCTGGTATTTGCACTCCAAGGCTGTGGTTTCTACCAGTTTGTTGTCAAAACATCTGTCTGTACCAAGGACTCTCCCTTTTTCCACACTCCTGTAAGCACTGTTATTCACAGATACAGTATACAGACATTCAGAATGACTGACTGAGAATATGATTTTTGCGATTAGATTCTTTTGGTGTGGGGATTTAGGCCAGATAATGTTAATCCCCAAGCTTATTTCTTTCTTACACTTGCTACAGGAAAGTAGAGAAATAATTCAGTGTAAGGAAAAAATCCTCAAAAACACACGTACATATATAAGACTCATTTGCTTGGAGTTGGTGTTTGGTCAGTGCATGTTCTGTACTGATTTTAATTGATAGCTCTCAGGACATGAAGTGTATGCAAACAGTTTGATTGGCAGACTGTTTATACGTCCTGCCCCAGGACACGGGTGTTTACTGACCTTGCTGGAGAGAAACACCTCCTTCAGATGCATGGTTGTTCCAAGTCAGTGTAGCTCATTAGGTTTGTTTGGAGCTGGCCAATATTTGTGTAAGTTGTCAAGGAAATGACTAACTTTTTTGGGTGGTCTTTGGTACACTGGATAGAATTACATCCAGGAAACTAAAACTGGCTACCACCAACACAGTAGCTTTCATCAAGGACATTATACGTCCTTGCTCACATGTATATACTGACTGAGAACCACAAGAAAGCAAGAAAATACTAATAGCCCTGACTACTTAGAGATTAGGATTTCCTGTGGTATGTGTGCATTTTCATGTTATTTCTTCATACAGTATTGTGTATTAGTCATCTTCTTAATTTAACTACAACACTATATGATAAAAAGACCCCCTGGACGTCTTTAATAATATCTGTGTGATTAATACTTCATCTAATTACTTGGACTAGGTGTGTAACACAGCAACTTGTTTGGACTATTTAGGTGTGTTTGCCTGTGCAGTAAATAAATCAAAACAGTTACAAAAGCAAACCTATTTATTCCAATGTACCGCCTGCTGATCAGGTTGTAACTTGACTGACTTGCAATTTTGCACCAAATGCCATAAAAGTGAACAGTTAAATTTAATATGGACTTGGTGATTTATCCTGGCTGTTAAACAACTTTACCCGAAATGAGAGAACAAGGCAATCAGTAAACTTTACAACATGGTGACTGTGGGTGAACTTGACTGCTTAGCAACTTAACCTGAGGAGATTGTTGGTACTTTGGAGCAGGAGTTCAATTTCCAACCTTGACCTTAAGGGTGGGACAATCTACTGACTGTTAAATCCTTCCCAAAGATTTCACTCTATAGGCCAGTGCCCTTTTCCATTCCCATATCCCTTGGGCCACACAGTTGTGCAAGGCTAGTCCACTGGTATCTGTATCTATCTGTATAGCTGGTATATCTGCCATACTCTTTCTTCTAAGTGCTGAGGGTCAAGTACAAAAGGCAGCTACATATATTTATCAATGTAAAGTCTTTATAGCAGGGTTACTGGTTATGGTTGACTGGGTGGCAACCTCATCCATTGAAGGGTGGGAGGGGGCCACTGTTCTACTCTTCAAACAAACTACAGGACCTTGTCCTTTCTTCCAGAACAACCAATAGCAACAGGACACACAGGCAGAACAATACACAGACTTTCAAAGTCTTCCCTTTATCATTGAGCTAAGAGCCTTTACAACCAGATGCTGTAGATATGAAAAGAATAAAGACTGAGATGTGAACATGAAGTGGAAAAGGGCAGATTAAAGCGTAAAGCAAAGGTTTGGGTCTGGATAAAGTATGGTAATGTTATACTCTAATGTTACATCTGTTGTTGCTCTCTGAGTTGCATATTGGTCTTGAAACCTATCCAAAGAAGTTGTTTTCAAGTCAGCATTGACAGGAACTGCAACTTGACATGTTTACTAGTAGTACTCACTCCATTAAGATGCACTGACCATGTTGAAGTGCTGCTTCAGTTGCAAACTGGAGTTCTGTTTAGTGTAATAAACTTCTAGTCATGTATGTCCACTTCCTAGTTATAGTTTCCTTAGTGGTTGTTTCCTGAGTTATTTGTCTGGAAACAAAAATGCTATTTAGAAAGCAGCAGCCAAAGTGATGTCACCAGGAAAAGAAAAGAAATACTAATACCAGTGTCACCTTTTTCTACCTGGCACAAATGTATATTGTTTGGAATGACTTATTTTCCATTACTGTTTACTTCCTGTAATTCTTTTTGTGGACTCTACTAAGTCTTGTTTATAATCATTTATTTTCTGTTGTTGTTTTAATTTAGACTGGTATATACATAGGAAATCCGCTGTTTCCCGTCATCATTTTACATGTACCTTATTGTAATAAAGCCAAAATATATTCTCAGTTGCAGATGTGAATGTTACTGTAGTCATTATACATGTACGTGCCTGGTTTGTTGTATCTGAGATTACAATCTAAACTGTAGGTGTTGAAGTATCCATGAGAAGATTTACCTACTATGTGCAATGTTATTCGTTTGCTGCTTTTATTGTGATTTACTAAATGTCTAAACCTACTTGTCTTGCACTTGGTAACAGATTTGAATCTAATTGATATTGCTAAGTCTATAATTTATAGCATAGCCCTTATCATTGCTTTACAAGCCTAATATGTTACATATTGATAGGGAATGTAGGTCCTTGCAAAGAAAAGAAATGTTCAAGTGTTATTTTGTTGTTGTTTGTAGTTTTTTTAAATAATTGTTTATATCAGGAAAAGTATAAAGAGTGTAAAATGATTTCTCCTCAGGGCCGAGACACCAGTCAGGTGTATGGGCAGTCTCTCGGAGTCAACTTTGATGGACGAACGTACATAGAAGGAGGGCAGCATGATTCCAAGGACTCCTACAAGAGGCATGCCTTTAACCTGGCCGAGAGTGACAAAATCTCCAGTAACCGCCCTGTGCCAGACACCAGGAATTACAGGTACGTGTGCTCGCTTAATTGATGTTGATTAACCTTAATGAAAGGGTCAAGGTTTTTTGCTGGGTAGACATGGCGACTCTGAGACTTTATTAAGAGATCATAAAATAGGTCAATCTAATTATAAAGTTTTCACCTCAAAGCTGTTACTACTTAGTATTATGGAAGAGTGTGAAACCTGTGCATGAAAATATGGAAAGCATACCTGGGTAATGCTCGGGAGTGTGTGCTTTGGCTGATGTGTTCTGCAACTCTCAAGTCATTTTGTCCTATTAAACTGATTAAATTTTAACAGTTACAGCCCAGGGAAATTTTAGTAGCAATATTGCTTGCAAGCCAGGGGAACATCAGACTTGGAAGAGTTAAGAGTGGTGGTGTAACGAACTTCAACCTTATACAATGTATTATAATTTTATGATTATTGTAAAGAAGTTTCTCTCAGACTGATCAGTCTCATTCCATGGAATCTTTGATGGTGTAAAGTAGAATAGAGTAGAGCAGAGTAGAGTACGTGTCTTTGGTCAGGTAGGATGCCACCACATCTAGCAGCCATAGACATTAGAATGTCTATCAGTGCAAGTCTTGTTCTCATGGATGTTACAGATGACCAGTTTGTGCTTTCCAAGTTCAAGATTTTTCCAAATGACCTTTACACAGACACAGTTAAGCTGCTTATTGGACCGTGAAGATGAGGCCATTCAGGAGATTTGACATTGTACAAGTGTGAAGGTCATCACCGTAATGGGGATAGTCAGGAAGAGGTTGGGTAGAAAGGAAGGTGAAAGACAGAAAATAGCCAGCTGTTGCCACTTTTGTGCTCAACTTTCCAATTCAAGTGCTTGTTTCCTACTACTTGCATTGAAGGACAAAACCCTGTAACTATAGGATATGGCAAAGTGGTCACTTACTAAATCCACATATACCCTACAAAGTCAAGATAGAGGTGGTTGTAATCAAATGTTTAAGTGCTGGAAGAAAGTGACTTTCTGTCAGACTAGATGTAACTCTAATGGACCCTGGCAGAGCACTGAGATCTCAGTGACCTCAGGGGCAGTTTGGTTTGTGTTACTGTGGGTGTTTTAATTTCCATCCCTGATTTTTTTGGCCAAAGTCCAATGTAAGATGGTAGAACATCCATGCTTACTTATATGTGTTTAATGGGAGCATTATGCAGTGACCAAGATCTTACTGCAAAGATATGCTCTGTCTTACAATATAAGTTACATTGCTTTACTGCTGCTGAATTACGCCGCAAACTTAAAACAAAACAAATGCCTCCTTTCCCTTCCTACCACAAAATTAAGTCCCCCGTGAATTTACGGTCCATTTGTGATAATTTGATGTTGTCTTTTGCCTAGTGGCCTCTGTCTTTTGAACAACAGGTAGCATTTTGATTATTCGTCAAGTAAGACAGGCCAGGAATTATCAAAGCCCTTTTGTACCATTTCTGGCAGCTATCTCAGATAAGAACAACTAAGGGGGCGAGAAGCCATGTCTTACATGAATATGAATGACTTTTACTTCCAGTTTAAACATAGCCATATCCTGTTTATATTATCTACTTGTACACAACATTGTGGCACTACCTGGCACGGAACTGTAAATGCAAACACAATACCAGTGTCCTTAGATACAAGAATATTAATAAGATGGAAAGGATTTATCTTTGTTATGGCTACGACCATGAAGGTGATTTCTTAACTGATTTGAAGCAGGTGATGGAATGGATTTGCAGGGAAACCATACCAGAATGAAATCATGGCACAAGGATTTTAGATTTTGTTATCCATACGTATATTCAATAAGTATGTCCAATCTAACAGAGAGTAGAACTACTTAATGTTAAGAGCCTGATAGGAAAATATTCCACATGTTGAAGAGTTCATAAACATGTTTTGCAGGACTCTAACATTGTGCAAGGCAGGACAAGGACTACATCTTTGTCACGAAACTTAGAAACAGATTACATGGGGATTTAGAAATGGACACTTAATCCCCATTTAATCTAAATACATTTGAAATATTCACTGTGATTTTATATTACCAGGTTTTGCAGTGTTCTTTCAATTTCAGAATCAAAACACCACAATTCACATCACAAGCAATGCAGATGCACCCTGTGTGCCCACCATGAAAATTGTACTGCAAACACCACCTTTTCTCCCCTACCGTGAATTATCTGCATGATGGCTCTGTTGTTTTCTTATCATAAGTTGTTTATTGGCAGGGTATGGAGGAAGTCAAATGTCTATATCTGTCATCTTTCATTTTTGACACAGCACTAGATCTGACATTAGATAGAGCTAGATGACTCACTTTCATCTATGAACTGACAAAGCCCATAGAAGATCCTAGAAGGATTACACGAAAGTCACGGAGTAGTGAAACTAAATGACCCTTTTCAACATCATACAACCCCCTATGTCTGCAGCATATTTATAAATTCATCCTGGTTGTAACATTTACAAAGAGTGATGTTTGCATCTGGAATAACTTCAAAGAAACCATCTCAAATTTCCTGTTTCATGTCTTCATCATGTGTAGACCATAGGCCAGATAAAGTATTGCCTCTGTTTCCATAATGATGATTCCAGGTCCCTTTCATTACATAACCCCCCCTGTGGAGCTTCTCTAATCAGTCTGGGAACGACCAGAGGCATATTACTGTGTACATTTGAAGAACCTATCGTCTGTATATCTTGGAGACAGGCCAAGAAGGTATAAGGCTTGTGTGTGGTAGGTGTGATAGACTGATATGTTTGTAAAGTTCTTTCTCCATGAGAACTGTTGGTGCAAATGTCTTGATTTATAATTTTTAAATCAAGTTTGCTTTTTAATAGATGATGCTAAGAGTCATCTTCACCTACTACTAAGGACTACCAAATTACCAAGAAGAGATGTTGTATTATTTAATAAAGACCTGTATCTGTATAGCCCGTATAGCTCTTCTGTTTAACACTCCAGGATGATGATGATGATTGCTTTTTTCATCACCTTCCCAGTTGATATTTTTTCTTCACATCCGTCTCCACCCATACCATTCCTTATCCATCAGTCTCCCCAGGAGTCCAGACACCTTCAGAAAAGGACCTGTGTCAAATTAGGTGCTTTACCAGCAGGGTGTTGAGTGTTCCAGCCCTGCAGCAGATGAATCGCCTTCTTTCTCTTCAGTTTAGACCTCTTGCTCCTGAGATGGGGTTGCTTACACCTTGTAGACAACACAAGCATGCAAGAGTCTGCTTCCATGCACTTACTCTAAGAGCCACTCACTGTCCTCCTAGGGTCACACTTTGTCAGGTTCCAGGTACTTGTTCTTCATTGGCAGTCCTAGGGACACTCATCCATTGTCTGGTTACCAAGGAAACCATGTACTGATGTAAAGGCAGTGGTACAGTAGTGAAGACCTGTTTTTTTCTTTATCTGCTTTATCTCTTGGACGTAAGCACAAATCCATTTTGTTTCTGCCTGATTGTCTGTAACACTAATACATTGTAATTGAAGTGAAAACTTCAAAGTCTTCTTTGAGTTACTGGCCTAGAATTATTCAAACACTATCTTGGCAGGAGCCACGGTAACACTTATGGTCTTCTTAGCCATACGATAAACTCAGAGTTACCCGGTAAGTACACTCTGGCATGGTCCCAACCAGTAAATTGTAACAACAAATGTATCCAAGAATCACCATGTGTGTGTTCCAAATAGTTCAGGGAATTTCCTAACTTCAGTATTTTCATCAGAGCCACTGATTGAAGCTACTGTAAGTCATGAAATATTCACAGTGGTTTCATGTTTGCTGTTTTTGTGGTGTCATTGATCTGCAAATATTTTGTTCTATCTTGCATTGTGTTATTACAGTTGCTTTGTAGAATGTCCTTGTTTCATCCACATACAGTATTTAAAATACTTAAAATTCCTCTTTCCTCCCACCATGAAATTAAGACATCATGAACAGAAATCAATTTTACAGTATCCTGAATATTCACTTTTCCTTTCCACGCAATGAAAATGATAGCTAAATATCAGTGATGGCTAAATTACATCATTTTTAGGTCTTCCAAATGGTTTAGAGAACCAATCTGTAGACATTGAAATGGAAGACTGTGTCGAGTATGACGTCAGAAGAATTCTTTGATTTAGAAAAGTAGCCATTAGAATGAATCCTGCTGCAAAATGTATCTGCATAATGGGACTTTATTGGACGTTTGCTTCAAATTCCCCAAATGGCCCAATCATCACAGAAAAGACTTTGTTGTATGTGTTGATATTTAAGGTATATAACATTAGATACAATTGTTATTGTTATTCTCTATGAAATCGCAACATGTAATTATCTACAAAAGCATTTTTGCACTGCCAGATCCCATTTGTATCTTTGAAAAGCACAGTGTGTAGTTCTCAGCCCATGGTTTCAGGGTCACCGCTCCTACCAAGGACTTGGCTAAAAGCTGACCTGAGGTCAGTTCACGCCCCCAGATACAACGTTGCTCCAGATTAACATGGACAGCCAAGGAAACTGGACTAGGCCTCCTTGTCAGACGGTGCTGAAAGTGTTATAACGACTTGACGTTTTCTTGATGAGTCTTATTGTTGGAAGTTACGTTTAATCAACATCAGTGAAAGGCATGTAATTTAGTACTTGCAGATGGATCCTTACCAACCTGTGGAAGCCCTTGAATGAAGGTTGCCCCTAACCTTAAACCTTTAGACAAGACATTTTCCTGAGATATTGCTTGATTTTCGGCTGTATCTGGTCACGCAGCTGTTGTAACTTGGCGGCATTTTAAAGGTCTGGTGAAAAGCCCACATGCCATGAATTTTGATTATCTACACAAATTCTATCGGCATAGTGATTTTACCTTGGTAGTGCTTAGCAGAATTCTTCCCTCGTATTTATGTAGCCTATCACCTGTTTGGCATTTACAACAACCTTTAAGTCCTAAAGAAAGAACCCGCTCACAAACTGTTCATTCACACACATTGTTCAGCACTTTCTGTGTACAGTTGAGACTAGGCAAAAAAAAGCCATGATATTTACATTATAGTAGATGATGATTACTACTGTATATGTATTTCTGGCAAATGAAACTGAAAGCATATTTTGGCAAATAAAAGCATACTTAGCTACATTGTACATGACAGACCTTGGTTCAGCCTTGCAATAGTCATGTTTATCAATGTTTTGCACAAGATTCCAGACTTCAGATGGCATGTACATGTAGGATTACTTTCTGCCCTTTGTTCTGGGGTCTAAGACCCTGTTTTGACTGGAGTGGTTGGTTCCAAGGAAACTGCTGGTAAAGCAAATAACCACAGTTTGTTGGATTAAAACAGGTGTTCCAGCTGGGTTCAACTTGTGTTTTTCTTTTCTACTGTGTTCAATATATTCAATCAATCAATCAATCTTTATTGCGCAACAATTGCAACAGGTACAATGTATGGCAAGTATAGACAAGAATAACAATACTAAAATCTACTTCTAAATGACTAACTCTAGACGCTACGCTGTAACTGTGTACTATGAGTTATACAATATATATGGGACATGGATACAGTATTAACACTCATTCGAAGTGTCAGAGATGATATGGTTTCTTTTCTGGAGAGCGGAAGATATGAATTGGCCTATATATAAGGATATTGGTTCAGGACATGACATAAGTAAATTAAAAGTATCTGAGCTTGTTCTAGGTAAAGTGAGATATATCATCATTGAGCAGTTTTGACTGCATTTGGTAATTATAGCATTTGGAAACATATTGTTTTCTCTCATTGTTAACAACATTTTTGATTTTCATATGTCCATCTCAGGTGCTCAGCCCTGGAGTATGACACCTCCTCCCTGCCCCAGACTAGTGTCATCATCACCTTCCACAACGAGGCCAGATCTGCTCTCCTCAGGACCATCACTAGGTGTGTATTGCAGTGCTCCTGCAATGGTAGAATTTAGAATTGCCAGCACAAGAGAAATTCTCTCTAGTAATACATATGGCTCACTCCAAAAACTTAAAAAATCATTGCAATTTCATTATTTCCTGAAATGTATTCTGTATCATTCTGTTACAGTGAACACAGGAATCAAAAATTCAAATATATCTTCAAATTCAAATTAATGCACCCTCAGTTGGGGAGATAAAAAGCAGTGGAAGGAGAGGGATGGCTTCTATATTCCAGTTCCATGCCCTAGACACAGTGGATTAACAACCCATTCACTGCCCCAACAGACTCAGAAGACTTTGAGATCTTTACCTCACTTTTTTTTACCCTGTTGCCCTGGTCTTTCTGTCCTACACAGTGTGCTGAATAGAAGCCCCCCAGAGCTGGTACGAGAGATCGTCCTTATTGATGACTTCAGCGATGATCGTAAGTTAAAATTGAGCCAAAGTAGTTAGTATGTATTCAGTCTCAATTTGTTTTGTAGTTATACTGCTAAAGAGTACACAGAGTTTTCATTGGTAAAGTATTTATTACATGTATATCTATCGGTTGTTGGACAAAGCAAAGAAAAGGCATTTGATGTTGATGCATTTTTATCAGGAGATTGCCTACTATAACCCCACATTTGGCTTTTTTCATCTTTTGAAGAGCAAGGACATTGATATGTGGACAAATTATTGCCCAATTTCTGAGATGTCACAAAGGGCAGCAAGCTCTTGAAAAATGCAAGGCCTCCTGAGAGAAATGGCCATTGATGGTGCCATTCAAGCCTTGATCGTGGAAAGAATATGAGAAGACCATTCATATGAATCAAATATCGTATCCGAACCCGACCTGAGCATGTCTTGTAACGTCATCTTTTATTGTCAGTGGTGCAAATCAAGACGTTGCTTTTTCTGGCCTGAAATACATGTATGTCCCCTAGTGATACTGCACAGAGGCCACAAACATTGGGATGTGTTGATAGTTTGGTAACAGCTCTGGAATTTTGTTTATTCATGCCTGAAGTGTGGACTTAAAGTGTAATCTTGAGGTCACAAAGCATGCCGACCCATGAGTATACTTAGCTTTCTTAGAATATCCTCTTTGAATTGTTCCCATTATTTCAACCCAGTGTACTTTCCCTCGACTGGAACGGCACTGAATGTCGGCATGCCAGATGACGCACGCTAGATGTACGGCCATTTGTAGACCTGTTCTTTAATGTAATCAGAATGTTTTACACGACCTTCGTCTGTCCTCTGCTTTGGATCAGGATTTGCCGGAGAGTAGACCCTCATCAATCAATAGCACCGAAAAGTAAGGGTGCAGCCTGACCTGGACCTGGCCTTCCATTACTTGGTGACATTTTTGTGGACATTAGCAAATCTATTGGTTTCAGTCATAAATTCCTCTCCAGGGCCATTTGTGGGGCTGCAGGGATTAGGGTACCACCCTGGACCTCTAGCTTGCCTACAAGGAAAAGCACTGAAGATAATGCGCATGTCTCGTGGGATTTAGGTGTCCTTTAATGTTGCTCTTCCAGTCAGGTACTACGTGCGGGTCAGTCATCAATAGCAGATGGGGAAGTTTAGAATATTTAAAGACCATAAATAAAATCTAGCTTGCAAACCACACATCAAGGTATACAACTATCCATTTGTGATGGTAGTCACATGTACCTGGGAAGGGTTATTACTGGTACTTTGGGATAATATGTACACCTGAGGAGGTCCATATATCAGCCCCTTATACTTTTGTACTCTTATACTCCTTACACCTTGGCTCTATTACCTGGTCTAAATCTTAACAAATCATCCTTTTGATACTCAAGGAATATTGTCTCATCCAGACATAAAATTCAACATTTACAGTGGCACCATGTCCCAGGTTACATCTTCGCGGGTTTCACAGGTTCTTTTTTTTACAGTTGACTTTGTCAGTTTGACGTACTGCCTCATCTCAGTGTCATGTGGTGGTTGTAAATTTTCTGTCCTGTGTTGTCCCTCCCAGCGGAGGACTGCAAGCAGCTGACGTCCATCCCTAAGGTCCGCTGCCTCCGCAACGAGCGCAGAGAAGGTCAGTCAAAGTCAAAGAAAACATACTGAAGACAAATAACCTTACACATAACTCATCTCAACTTTTGTTGTATTCCATCTCTAGATTATGAGTATTGATATTACGAGGTTGACCCCATATTAATGGAAATCTATTGATAAAAAATTATGAACTCTCATAGTCTGTAGATAGCCATTACTGTCTATTGTTACCAGAGATTGCAGCGTAGACCAGTGATGATGAAGATACAGTATAATGATCATCACTGGAGGGTATGAATATAGAAATAGGCACTTTTTCTCCTGGTGTGGAAATGGAATGGTTCCAAGTGGGCTTGATGGAGTGAGTGGGAGTGAGTGTGTGACAGATGTATACATGTCCCTTGTCATATTCATGTCCTGTCCGCCAGGACATTATGATTACATGTGTCTGTGAGCTGTCGGAATGAGACAAGATGAGTCATTAACCATTATCAGCTGTCTGCTGGGCCACCTCATAAAGTCCCTCTGTGTCCAATTGTTATGCTAGACCAGTATTGCCCTATGGGGTAGATATAGTGAAAGGTAAAACACAATAAATTGGTACTGTTTTACTCATATTTATGATGTATATAGACTGAGTCAACCCTTTTTTTCAGTGCAGGCACCTGAATCTTTATGTACTCCTATAAGTTCCTCTTTTCGCCAGGAGGATAACCCATTAGTTATAGTAGACATTATTTCTCAGACAGGAAAATCTAATTATCAGTCTGGATTTCCAGCAGGTCTAATTACTCTGCACCTAAATGTCTTCCACCGGGGAAATAAACGCCCCATCTGTATGCAAATTTCCTTCTGTGAGTGGAGACGGGCCAGAAATATGATCATGACGCAGATGGATTTGGCATCCTGCGAGTCATAATCAATTTACTCACAGAGTTCTTTTCTGCATGAGATTTATGCTGCCCCTAAAAGGATTTTATATGATGTAATCTTGCTGAGACAGACTAAGCCTGATGCATTACTACGAAGCACAGGTTCCATTTACATGCTTTTGTAAAGACCCAGATCGAATATGAAAGCTATCAACTTCAAAGAGGAAGACTTGTACTATTGAGTGCTTTTTAAAAAGAGGAGAAAGTAAATTTTGCAGTTGGACAGTTTCATGTCAAGGCTAATGGTTGCTATGGTAACAGATCTGCAGTCTAACTTTTGGTTGTCAAACTTTCAAAGGTGGGCCAGTTGAAGTAATATTTTGGTTCTCGTGCAATATATGTTATGTCCATAGCATGTCTAAAACATGAGACAACAGAAGTGAAAGCTGTACTGCAAACTTTTTATGTGATTTGCTGACATCTACTCAAATACCAAATATCATAAGATTTGTCCACAACTTCTTGAGTTCTTGAGTTAAGCTGACCACAAAGAAACCCACCCACTAACAGATAGCACTGAAAACTTTCTTGGCCAAGGCAATATGTGTACATTGTACTTGTATGTAAGAGAAAGTCCTGCATTTGAATTGAATTGAACTACCCCACCACATTCACCTCAAAAAAGGTTTATCATCGTAAGTTAGCCCAGTAAGATGACACTGACCAGGTTAGTGCCCGCCCCTCACCTCCTGTGCATGTTATTGTTTTGCAGGGTTGATGAGATCACGGGTGAAAGGTGCGGACGCCTCCAACTCGGACGTGTTGACCTTCCTGGACAGTCACTGTGAGGCTAACAAGGACTGGCTGCAACCACTGCTGCAGAGGGTGAAGGAGGTCAGTTCATCACATTCAACACTGCTGCGTAGAACTTGTGGCTTAAGGCACTGCCAGTGCAGTTCTTTGGTGCAGACATTTGGAAATGAGCCAAGGCATCAGCATAAAAAAAGAGGGAATTCTACCCTTCTTGTAACTTTGTAGAATATGCTCCTGTTAATAGTCTGTAATTTCCCACTCTTCCTGTCATACTTTTTAATTCTCATTTACCTCAAGGCATGTCTATGTACGCACAAAACTGTCACCTTAAATGTGAAGACAATTCAGAAGAAGAAAGATCTGAGTGATGAAGTAACAGGTTCTTCCTTTCCTTTGGCTCACGGCAGCTGTGACCTTCGTGTTATCTTTCGGTGCCATCACCTTGAAAGTTGCTTACAAATCTTTACACAGGACCCCACACGTGTGGTGAGCCCCATCATTGATGTCATCAGTATGGACACCTTCCAGTATATTGGTGCTTCTTCCGAACTGAGGGGAGGTGAGACCATATTGACTTTACTGTCACACGTACCGCTGAAAGGAAAACATGGGATTAGGTCTACCAGTATACATGGAATTTGTAGATTTGCTGACGGATTAACCAAGTGTCACTTCAAGTTTGGACACTTTAGGAGGTCTTGTAACTTCTTTAGACAACTTGACAGTTTCTGCATGCTGTGACCAGTCATAAAATATGAGATCCAGAGAAAGGGACCCAGACCTATAGTAATTAGGGGTACATGTACATTATGACAGAAAAAGTTAAAAATAGGTAAAGTTGATTTTACCCATGCCAGTGATTCAATTTTTCCAGCTCACACGTTTTGATGAATGGAACTACTAAAATAGAAGAGATGGTATCCCACTGAAGTCAGAATAAAGCATCATGCATGGCCTTGTTCTTTCCCATGTATTTGCAGGATTTGACTGGAGCCTTCATTTTAAGTGGGAACATCTATCAGAAACCCAGAAAGCCTCAAGAAAAGACCCAACTGAACCCATCAAGTAAGAGATTGTCAAGATTATAGTTACATGTACATGCATTGGCAGATGCTGTTAACTTTTCCAAATATGTCATCACAAAACAATGTATTGGACAATGCATGGAAAAGTGGTATCTCAAAGTAGACTGAGGCAGATTCTTGTCTTTCAGTTGTCCTTTGTCTTAATACCTAATCTCAGAGACATTACAGGAATGTGTAGGATCTGCTTATTGGCATGAAAGATAGAATCTAACATAATTGAAAAGTGTTAATGATCTTGAAACACAAAATCGTATCCTCTGGCAGGACACCAATGATTGCTGGTGGCCTGTTTGTTATCGACAAGTCGTGGTTCAACAAACTGGGCAAGTATGACACCATGATGGACATCTGGGGAGGGGAGAACTTCGGTAGGTGCTTCAACAGATTTCCTTACTTCTTAGACTCATGAAGCTTAAAAAAATTGTGAGAACGAGATGGTTTAAGATATATGTACATGTAATCTGGACAGTTGTGACATCACACACTTATATTAAGATGGTTTTGTTTGAGGCTGTTTCCAAGTCTCAAGAAGCATATATTAAATGCATTTTTAAAGTCATATCTTATCAGAGCTGGCTGTGGTATTTTCTGTCCCTGCCTCAACCACTTAAACAGTCATGACTTTCAGAAAGAGGTGCTGTTTGACCTTAGCTGCACCTCTAACCTTTCTGGAAGACAGAGTCATTCTGATGTTCTGCTAGCTTCTAGTCAGTTATAACTTATAACTTATATAAGCCTTCGGAAACAAATCACTGAACTTTTCAGTGCTGACAAGACCCAACAGGAAACAAATTACACACAGGTTTGTTAACTCAAACATATCCATTTTGGTAGGGAACACTTTGATAACTAATGATAACATACAGACTTAATCACAGGACATTACTGGAAGCAGACAAGCAGACAATGAATAAAACAATGTGTTGGTAACAGTGCTGGAGGGTTTTGACGGGACCAATGAATCACAGTCCCTTGTCACTTCTAATCTGATCTTCACAAGGAATGTAAGAACCATGGGTGCCCAATTGTCTATTGCTAAGCCTTGAAATTTTTGTTGAAGGTGTTTGTGTTCACCGAGCTCCACATTTTTCCGCGGATTAGTCTTGAAGTATTTTCACGTTGCCAATCTGATCAAAACATCTCTGAAAGCTGTAATTGAGAGAGTGTTGGTTACAGTTAAAAGCCACATAACATTTTAGAAATACCTCTTCTCTGTTACTAACAATATTAGTTGTGTTTACCTCAGACTGATGGTTTGCTTTAGTGGGTGGCGTCTTCCTTGATCAAACGAGAACATATTTCCAATGGTAATGCTATTTGTATTACCTTGATCGTCCCCAAAAAGGTGAAACGTTCAAACCAAATTGTTCCCTCTGATGAAATAACTCCTGCATGATTCAGCAAGGGCAGGCTTCCCTAATGGACGATGGTGAACTTTAACGTCAGTGCTCAATTCTGCAGCTGGGGTACCCAAGGGTCTCCCATAATGGTTTCAACATTTGGTACTTTGACTTTTATCTTCACCATTTGACTTTTATGTTATAATTTGATTTTGGCTTTTATATTGCAAATGGGAATACAGTTTTTGACTGCCTGCATCAGTCTCAAAATGTAGTATGCACTGTCAGTTCCATATGGTTTCTGGCAAAGTTTTTTTTAATGGTACTGAAGGTAATAAACTGTCAGATTTCATATCCCTTTTGTCCTATTCTGAGGGTCCCATAATGTCAAGGCTAAATATAGTAATGTAATGTTTCCTATTCATGCATAATGTTGCTATCACTTTCTGCATGGTACTTCTGTGGTTACTGGTAGTTAGGAATTCTGCCAATTTTCTTTGGACTCTCATATACTCAATCACAGGTGAAGGGCATGACCTCTGATGGATTTATGTCATTAGTGTGAAGGTCAAAAAGATCCCCTGTGTTCTATGCTACTTTGTTTTATTCTCCTGATACAGAAATCTCTTTCCGTGTATGGATGTGTGGTGGCAGTCTGGAAATTATTCCCTGCAGCAGAGTCGGACATGTTTTCAGAAAAAGACACCCCTACACCTTTCCAGAAGGAAATGCAAATACATATATAAAGTATGTGATTATCAGATCTTTTATAGAATTTTATAGTTTTACAGTTGTTTAATAATGTACAGAAAATTGACTTTGTAGAGACATAGTTTCGCAGTAGGAGAGGCCAAATGGTATTTGCCATGTTTGAATTGTATTTAACGCAATGCAAGACAGGATATATCATGGTTGCATTTTGGTGACTGCAAACATAAAACTAATGCAAATATTTTACAATTTACAGCACATGTTATACGTGTAAGACCACAATTCTTCAACCATCTGCTCTTGATTGTTTGCATTCTAACTTTTACTTTTCTTGACTTCTTCCTGCAGAAATACACGCCGCACTGCTGAAGTGTGGATGGATGATTATAAAAATAACTTTTATGCTGCGAGACCCTCAGCAAAGGGAAAACCATATGGAAAGTAAGTGTTCATATCATATCATACAATCCATGAGTCACTCTGTAGAACCATGAACTTGGAGCTAAAACCTCAACAGCGTACCAGTAAACGAGATGCCTTCTGTGCCAGTGAGGTATCTGGGTTGGAAGCTGAATTGAGATAAAGTTGTCAATGTTACCAGATAGAAATATCATGGACCAACCTTGTTATTGAAAGAAAGAGGAATGTTAATACATGTATTTTGCTTGTTTTAATCATGGGCATACTTTAGGCCCCATATGTGTCCAGCTGGTCCCTTGAAATAATTTATAGCTATAACTTAATGTATGATACCACTAAATGAACTGTAAAATGCACAATGGAAAATGGATTATGCACCCATTGTCTAGAGTTCACTGTGGCATTGTTTTTAACAGTAATTATGGCATTCTTTTCAACAGTGTTCAAGGCAGAAAAGAACTTCGAGAGAAGCTGAACTGCAAGACTTTCCAGTGGTACTTAGAAAATGTCTACCCAGAACTGGAGTAAGTCTTCCATGTCTTTGCTAGTCGTTTTAACCCCAAACAAACAACACTACCCCTGTAAACAATTAAGCTCTAAATGTGTATTTTCTTTTCCCAGGAATAGTTCTCTTCAGATGGCTTAAGTCATCAAAGGTCTTAAAACTAATGAGTGTTGACTGTAAATCAGCCATGAAATCATGGCTCCGCCTTGTAAACTACCATATTGGAGATGGACCGTGGATAAGAATGATGGATAGATGCCACCCACAGGGACACATGGAACTCAATTTGTGGCCAAATGTCAACTTAAGTCCATTACAAACTCAATTGGGCCTCTAATCTCAGTTTTGAAAAAAAATATTTCTGCTGAGTTTGAAATATAACAGTTACAGTAGTTAACCTGTTTGAGTCAGGAGAAAAGAGAAGGGGCAAACATGGCATTTTCAAGAGGAAGAGGGTTCTGAAGAGTCTGTTTCTGAAATCTAGTAGTGTTCCATTTATAAGTAGATAAACAAGATTTGTAGTTAGTCAAGTAGAAAATTAGATATAGAAGTTACAAAGTGACAGTTTGTTTTGTAAAAGTTTAGGTTTTTTGTCCAAAATGAATGTTGAACTAATTGAGGTACTGAATCTGAAGGCCCCCACTCCAACTGTTTTGTAATCATGCCCAGCTTTGTAGTCTGTGTGTGGGGATAAACATGTGGAAATTGTCCACACCTGTGGTCTCTGCCACTTAATTTTATTTGTTTGCTCTAAATCCTCTTCAAAGATTGAAGGGACACAAACTGGTGGGACATTTGGGACTGTGACAGCTGTGCTGTTGTTAGCCGATAATCACATAATCCAGAAAGAATATCTTGATAAATGTACATGTATTTTTATTTACTATGTTCATATGAAAGACAAAGGAATTAACTTTTGTTCGTAAAAAAAATGTGATATTTTTTATATTTTCAAATAGATAACAATATCATAGAAATCAAAGTAAATGTGGGACATCATTGCTTGAAGTTTTAGGTAATTTGGTACCATGGAAAACAAGAGCAAAATCATGTAATATTTTACCCTCCTCTGACAGGATGTTACAGCCACCAAAAGTCTGTCTACATGTGTATCAGGTCAGAGAAATGGTGCTTAGAAAGCTGTGGTGGTATGCATGTGGAAGTAAATGTATTAAGTGAAGGTGATGGACTGTACTAACAGTTATGGTGGTAACTGGATGGTGTTGCAACATTGTCAGAAAGGAATCATTTTGCATACATGTAACCTGTCTAAGATAGCTGTGCCTTTGAAGAATGCAGAACATGCTGTTAAAAATAAGGAAGATGGGCATGAGTTTAAGTATGTGCAGTGCAACTAATGCCAGGCAAATGAACTTTTTCTCCTCTCTTGCATGTTCTTTGGCTATGGAGCTGAGCAATGCTGTAGACATGCTTTACAGGAATATTCCATTTTTTTAAAGAAATTGTAATGAACTTTCTCTGTAGATTACATTGTGTGTGATGCATTTCAAACTTGTGGTGGAATGACTGCGTACAAGAGTTAATTAACTAGATGTATCGGTATTCAATGTCTGACAGAAATTCTGTATTTGCTGCAGGATTCCTGGCAAACGCAGCACCCTTTGGGGGGAACTGAAGCAGGCCAATCAGTGTCTGGACACACTGGGGCACAAGCCGCCTGGTGCGGTGGGCATGCAGGCCTGCAACTTACATCCTGGGGGAGGCCTAGCTTCACGTCAGGTCAGTATCACAGATAGATACATATAACGTTACACATGTACTAATTTATGCTGTGAGTATTGAGTAACACAAGACTGTGAAGAGCTGGAGTAGATAGACTAGTTTTCAGTAGAATTTTTGTAGAATACATGTACAAAGAAATACCGGTATCTGTTAACAATATTTAAGTGCTGCTGGTATATGGTAATGGCTGCAGGGTTGATATGGTAACTATGCTTCAAAGGATAGGTCCTTTACAAGTTGATTGAAACCTTCCAGTATGGGGGTTGATTAGAACTGTGTGTGATAAGCACATTGTTGAGAGACTTGCACAAGTGGTGGTAGAGTTGATGGAGGGAGTAATCTCATTTCTTCATTCAACATCACTACATTTATCTGAAAGTATGTTGCTATGTAATCTTTCATTCAGGAATGGGCCTTGACCAAGTCTCACACTATCCAGCACGGATCACACTCATGGTGCCTGGCCGCTGACACAGCCATCCCGGGAACACTGGTGTACCTCTTCACATGCAACGAACAAGAAACAAAATGGTGGGTGTCGGCTGATAGAGCTGTCAGCGATAACTTGATCCGATGTACACTCTGGGAATTGTTTGACAACTTGCCAAGCAAGAAATTGAACCATGTCAGAATGACATTCCCATAGACCTGGGATTACTTTGCAATTTTCTGTGCAGATATCGCAATATACCTCACTCACTCATAATCTGACAGAAGTTCGTGAAAAGACAGGTGTCTGAAAGTTAAAGCTAAACACTATAAGTACACTTTGACAGCATGCTTGTTGTTTTAATAAATTTTGCTGATATAGTCATAAGTCATCAGTAGGTGAGAGCAGTTTTTAAGCTGGGTCCACTGTTTTTTTTCGTCTATGACAATTGATGTTCCTTGATTTATGGCCTTGATTCCTGACAGAGTGAGTGTGATGGAAGACTTGCTGGTAGTTATAATGAAGCAATTTGTAAACATGATAGCAGAAAATTCTCGGAGCACAGTTGGAGCGGGATGTATGGAGTCTATGATGTGTCTGTCAGTGTATTACAGGGATATATGACTTCTGCTGGGGCAGGAGACAGCACTGTCATTTTCTCTTTATGTTTCCGGAAGGTTCTCAAAAGTACAGATGTAAAAGTGACATTCTTTATACTTACCTATGGCATGAGGTATGAGGTGAATCCCTTGCCTGTGTTTTGTATTTGTCAGCCCATTAAGTATATTTCTGGGTTCTTGTTTACAGAGGTGGAAACGACAGGACCGCCTGATCATGCACGTTGCCACAGGACTGTGCCTGGACAGTGTGGAAGCTGCCCAGGGTCTGGGGGTCACCATCGAGCAGTGTGACAAAACCAGAGTCTCCCAGCAGTGGGAGTACACTCTGGACAGGAAACAGAGATGACAGACGGGAACTACCGCAGCAGACTGGACCAGATAGAGGATGTCACAACACAGGCCCTGGTTGGAGTGTGTAACCTGTTCTCATGAATCTGTCCCATTCTCACTGGGGCATGTTCCACTAATGGAATTATGAATCACTTTTTACTATCGTTCACAGGACTCAGTTTGTCTGTCTCTGTGACAAACAGCTGCCACAGAGAAAAGTGTTGGATACTTGAATGTTTATGGGCTGACATGAGGTTATATTGTGAGGAACATGAAATGTGTTCTGGTGAGATACATGTAGTTTCATGGGAAAGTGTATTAAATTCTACCAAGGGTCACAAGATCTTCCTACACCTGTGGAAATATTATGCATGTATATGTGTAATTTTGGAAGGTTCCTATTTATGCAAGGTCTGTCTGCTGCAAAACATTACTAGTACTTGAACTTTAATGTCAAGTGACTCAGTCTGATAGGAAAAGTGTTAGTCTCAGCACTAATGTGTATCTAAGTGAAAATATGGAGACACATGATAGGTCACCTGGAGAATGATGTAATTATAGTACCACTGGCATCTTCTTTTTCCGAGACACATCAGAAAAAGCTGCCAAAAGGTCAATGTACATGAAATTTCTATTTCAGTTGATATTGATATGACTTTATCCTGTCTTATATTGGGAAGATGACAGAGAAATTACTGTCATTTGCATGATAGAGAAATATTATGCTAGTTTCTTAACTATTTCTGAAAGAACTTTTTAAAGTTATTTACATAGGAGTTACCGGTAACCAATGGAATGCTTTTTATAGGAAGAGTGGTGGATATATTAATCTTCAAGGTTATTTAGCTACAATGTATTTAACAGAACAACCGTTTTGGTTGATGACACATTTCGTTTGGCTTGTAGGTGTATTTAATACAAAAAGTAATATATCATGATGTAAAGTATATGCTACCATTCCAGAGGACTGATTTTATCAAGTACATTTTATAAAAGTGTGGGTTTTTCTCCTTCCATTCCACTTTTTCACACATATTATGTGTGGAACTTTTAATTAACTTGTGCCAATATAGGAAAACTGTAATTGTTGCTTATTTATTGCTGTATTCAGTGCTTCGCCATGACTCCAGAAAGAGAACCTACGGCGTTTTGATTTGAAAATCTAGTTCATCATTATTTTTAGTATGTGTACTTGTGCAAGCTACATGTATAGGAGTACATGCTCTTGGAATTGCCTTTGGTAGGGCAGTTCATTAATTAGTGAGTTTTATGTGATATTGTGGGAACAGTGTCCTACTCAATACAGAAGACAATCTGCATTTATGTTGTACTTTGCCTGCAAACCATATCTTTTCCAACTAAGTGCTTTGCAACCTATAAAGCTATGCAACTCTCTGCCTAAAGTACTTTCTTTCCTATGCATTTCTGTAAAACATAATGCATGACAAGGCAAAAGGAGTCTGCCATTATACAGTGGGCCTAATAGTAAGATTCTGTACAGTGTATCTGTGAGGTAAATTTGCGACCAAGCCAGTGGAAATATCAGTCTTACCTAGACTAGGTGTTCTCTGTTCTAATAGGACCTGAATGTTCACTCAAGGAAAACTGTGAGATGTATTGTGACCTATGCTATGTAATAGAGAAACATTTGAGGAACAAGGTGATCAGTGATGAACATTTGTAATACGTAATGATTGTTCACCTAATTGTGAAATACTGATGTAATGATCTTGACTTAGCAATACTAATAGAGAACATTATACATTCTTACTGCAAAGCCAAATGAAGAAAACAGTCCACATCCACACTCAATTTGTCTTTAATTCCTTTTCTATTGACATCCTGGTCAGGAATCAATGGTCATCATATGAAATTATTATAATGTACTTTTGTGTACTATGTACAGTGCACAGTATAGACTGGAAATCATGTGGTCATCAGACTTAACTGCTATGCAGTTATGAAGATTATGATGATAGGAAAGGGAGGGAACAACATTTGTGTCTTAGTGACATTTGTGACATTCCAAATATATTTTAATGTTTTCAAAAGCTGCAGACTATACAGCCAGTACATGTATGTAATGTACAAATGTGCCAATAAAATAATTGTATGATGTGCAAATAGTCTAATTCTTTATTCTTTTCATAACCACAGAAATATATACATATCAGAAATACCCTATATTCAAACACAAGAAAGTCCTGACAAGTGATTTATGATACACCAAAGCTCTCTGTATCTACATCTTCAAGCCATCTCTCATCCTGGCAATTTCTCTTGCTTTTCTCTCTGCATTTTTTCTGTATCTCTCCAGCTCCTGTAAAACAAACATTTGCATTTCAAAGAAGATTCTTGAAGAGACAAGTAGTTTTCATCTTCTAACTGAGCAAACAAAGTTGAGTGTTATAGTTATACGATGAAAGGAATCTATTCAGACATTGTTTTGCAGTCATTCCTTACCTCATCCTTCTGTTGCCTCATGGCATCGATGCTTGACTCTGCGAACTGAGGGTCCTTTGCAGGGTCATCCTGCACTGTGGGGACAGCCGACACCTGACAGAACAACCAACAAAACCTTGACTGCCAGTTTGAGTCAAAGCCAGCTGAATACAACTTCCAACTGTGTTTGCAGAGATCCTTTCACCATTGTGTACCAGACTGGAAGCATAAAATAATGGCATAAACATACCTGGGGGAAGTGGCCTGTGAAAGCCTGTTTCCACAGCTCCACTGGATTTCTGGCACTCATTGTACCAACATTGCCCTCTGGCAGGGGAGGTGGACCTTTGTAGGGGAGAAAACAAGATGTCATGTTTTCACAGAATAAATCTATTATATAAATTCGTTCCTTTGCAAGTTAACACATTTGAGAGTTAACAACACATTTGGTAAAAAAAACTAGAAATACATGACCCAAATCTAATTCAGTCACAAAGTCAGGACACCAGGAGTCACCAATATCAGTACTGCATAAACAAGCCCAAGTAAAGACAAAGCTCACCTATCTGTTGGAAGCCGTCTGCAGCGGCAGGGATGTAGATAGGTTTGTTGTGCTCCAGCTGCATGGCCTTGAGTTGTGGAGGTGCTGCGCCGAAGGACAGGTGGTTAAACATCACCCTCCCCCTGTCAATCAACTGCTTCATCCTCAGGCTGAAAAACTGGCAGAGATTTGGATAATGGATAAGGTGGGGGTGATGTGTGATTGGTTTATCAAAACAACTGTTTGATTCTTACACCTGACTGATGAGCAAAACACAATTATTCTGAGAGGGAAG